TCGGTGCCTCTCGGCCCTCCTCTGCCTCCCTCTAAAGGTCGTTGAGGGACTAAATGAATCAACAACAAATAGAGAGCCCTGGAAACTGTGCCTGGTGCAAAGACACCTTAATAAGCATCAGAGCTCCTGTATATCCACCCATCGTTTATATCCTAAAGCTGGACGAGTAGCACACGTTCCTGCCACCAAGGAACTGGAACCAACAGTTTTACCATCTCGGGGGTGTTCATAGCCATGCGTCTGGACGGGTGCTCATCATGGTTGAAATGCGTCCCCTCAAAACTCATAAAGTTGAAGCCCTAATCTCCAGTTCCTCAGAATGTGACCTGATTTGGAAGTGGGGTCATCATAGATGGCATAGTTACGATGAGGTCATTAGAGTGAGTCCTAATCCGGTATGACTGGCATCCTTATGGAAAGGGTACATTTGGGCACAGAGACAGCCATGCACAGAGGGATGATGGCACCCACAAGCCCAGGAGAGAGGCCTGGCACAGGTCCTTCTCTCCCAGGCCCCGGACGGAACCGACCCTGCAGAGACCTTGGTTTTGGACTTCAAGCCTCCAGAACTGCGGTTTAAACCACCGTTTGCGGTCCGCTGTTACGGCAGCCCCAGGAAACTAACACAGTACCTAAGTCCCTATTTGATCAATAAAGGAGTTGAGGCTGAGACGTGAAACGACTTGCAAAGTTCGCAGGTCTCCCAAGGGGCAGGGCCAGGCTCCACGCCACCCACCAGGTGGGGGAGCGTTGCGTCCTGTCTGTCTCCATCTGGGAGAAGCCTTAACGTCGAGCCTTAACAAGAAGCCGGTCACAGTGGTGCCGCGTCCCCTGCAGGGATCATGAGCACGTGGAAGAAGAGGCCATCTCTCCCGGAAGTTAGAGCAAGCGATGTAAGAAACGCACAAGCCACCATAAAATGGACATACACAGACGGCCAAAGCAAGTCCTTGCTAATAAAAATCTCCCAACCTGGTTTTACACAGCACCATTTTCGACAGGTAGAAGCCCGAATTGGTGACTGCCCAAGGATAGTTTACGCTGGAAATGTCACCCGACATTTGTTCCATCCTTAAAGGGCCCTTGCGTTGACCTTCTCATGGGCTCGTCTCTCTGGCAACCACTCCTACTCCATCGTCCAACAGAAATCCACGGGGGCGAAGGGGCGTCCCAAGTTCACAGGGTCCTACACGGGCCAGAGCCCATCACGGGGCTCCAACGATCGAGAACCGGCTGTGCCGTCCTCCCTCCCGCTTTGCACCTGATAAACATTTACTGAGCTCCTGATGGCGCTGGGGACACGACAGAAAACAAAGAGGACAGTCGCACCTGTCCTGAAAGGTTCTGCCTTTGGTGGAAGGAAGCAGGAAGTAAATGAATAAGTTTACAGCATGTCAGCTGAAAAACGAGGCTGTGAACGGGATGGACAGTTAACAGGCGGCTGCTTTATATGGGGCGGAGGCACATTTGCACAACCACAAAGGGATGACACAGGTCCAGAAATGGTTTCAATATGCCCATTGCCATGACAACCTCCCACACTGGGGTATTTTAGGGACGACCACTGAAGCAGCCGGAGGTAGCCTCACCTTCCCCAGCACACCTGCCCCCGGGGAGGCGCTGCCTGGCGCTGACAACAGCACGCCATCAGGGCCGTGAGACGGGAAGGAAGCCCAGGGGCCCCGGGGACCAGAAGGAGAAACATTACCTGAAGGGGGTGGACCAGGGAGAAGTGGCCACATAGGTGGTGGGCTGAATTGGGTCCCCTTAAAAGATGTTCAAGTCCAAATCACGCCCCCTTGCATACCTGTGGCTGTGACCTTACTTGGAAGTAGGCTCTTTGCAGACATAAATTAAGATGAGGTCATACGAGAGTGGGCTGGGCCTGGCCCACCTCACCTGTCCCTGCAGGTTGGCCTGGCAACTAGGCAGGGGCTCTCAGTCTCTGGGCCAGGAGCAGGACTCGCAGGGACAGCCCTTCCCCGAAGGCCACTGCAGTGCTCCCAGTCCTCTCCGGCCGTCACAGGCCACTGTGGTGGCGGAGCTGGTGACCCCAGGCTGGTCCACTCCAGGTGGTCAGCCTGTGCTTCTCACCAGCAGGTCCCACAGATGAATGGAGACAAATCAGTCACATTCAACCTACTCTGATCAAGGGTCAACGCTTGGGACAAACAAGAGATAAGAGAGAGGAAACGACTGTGAGTTAGTGTGAGTCAACCCAACTTCACACCAGGCGACACAAGCCCTGGAAGAGATGACGGCAAAGAGGATGGCAATAGTGATGACGATGGTGACAGAGGCTAAATCTGAGTGGCCACTCAGGATGTACCAGGTGCGCTAAGAGCCTTCCCGGTACCTTCTCATTTCATCCTCACAATCAGAGTAGGACGGTCTCCCTGTCATTCTCACTTCACACTTGGGAACACTGAGGCCCACAAAGGTTTAGTAACCTGCCCAAAGGTATCAGGCAGAGCTGCGCTGGCATCACTGGGGCCCCTGCCCACTTGGGGTCCCTCCGCCTCTCGCACTGACAGCATCTCACCCCGCTGCATGTGGCTCTGGCGTTTAAGGTTTGACACTGTCTATCCCACAGATCTGTAAGGAGCAGCCTGCTGCGTCCCCTGCTCCCCAGCTGATGAGGGGCTGGCTTCTCCCAACGCTGGAGGCAGGCAGGCTGGGGTCCACACTTCATGGGCCCTTTGGGGGAATTTTCAACAGAGTTTTGACCACACAGCAGCCTCCAGCAAAGCCTTGAGAACATGGGCCCCATCCGCGCACGATGCAGTTCCCCTGGAACATCGGGGCTTTTAAATGATAACGCATGAGACATCAAGAAAAGCACATACGCAGGTCAACAAGGGGCGTGTGACTCGATGGCACACAAGTTACTGAATCCAGCCACTGACGCGCCCACAAACCCCTCAAGAACAAACTCTGGCCCCAGCATTTCGAGGTAAGGGCAGTGGCTTGGAGTCACGGCTCTGATCTCACCCATGGTCCCCTTGATACTTGATAGCTGGGGAGTCCGTGGCCAAGTCACTTAACCTCCTGGTTCTCAGTTTCCCCATCTGCCTCACAGGCTATTCCAAGGCTTCAAGGATATCACAAAATGTCCAAAATGTTAGCAGGGGTCTCATAAATATTTAGGCATTCACCCTTTCTCTTAGATATGAGAAAGAGTAAATAGCATTGTGTGGGGAGACAGAGAGATTGGGAGAAAAGGACTTAAACCCACAGCCTAAATTAAAGTCTTCCATTTAGGAAAATTACAGAAAGGATTCTAAATGACAATTTCCATCTATACACGATTTATTTGCCAAAATTACAGTAAGGTGCCAATATGAAATGTACACTGTTTTCTTTTTATCCAATGAACATAATAGAGGAAGAATGAACAGGACATGCCAAAGAGTGACAAGAGGAGGATAAAGTAGCAAAAAGATAAAATATGACCACAGAGAAACTCATTATTAAAACAGTCGAGGCAGGATACACTTCATCATCCTGAGAAACAGAGCATTTAAAGTTCCAGTTAATTTGAAATAGATTGTCCGAGGCTGAAGATAAATTTGATTTTCTTTTTTGAAATCAGCAATCTTCCTTGGGCTAAGGTTGCTGCTTACTGATTTTTTTCCTTAAATGCAAATTGACCCAGGGGAGAGAAGCAAGGATTGTGATCTCTTGGAGGGAGCTGAGTTAGCTCTCTCTTTCCAAGGAGGCAGCTGGTACTCTGCGCTCATGTCCAATCAAATTTAGATCGCATTCCAGTTCTGCCTCTTACCAGCTGTGTGACAACAGCTCCACACACTACCTCTCTGAGCCTCACCTGTGGAGCGAGGGTACTAACAGTACCTGCTTCACAGTCTTCATGGGCACTCAATAAAAGAATGCCTTTGAAACACCCAGTAGGGTTCCAAGCCCATGGTAGGAGTATATTACATGTAAGCTTTTACTCTTCCATCAGTCAAATGAATAAATAAACGGCCAGTCTACCCTCGCCTCCAGAATCAGAAGTTCGCCCAAGGTCACACAGCTAATAAACAGGAGAAGGGGAAGGTACCACCCTTGTGTGCTTTCTACTGCTCAGTCCTGGGGAGCCTCTGTGCACTGCTGCTGGGGCGGGGGCTACAACAACCCATCAGATCTGGACCTGCCCTCAAGGAGCTCACAGTCTCATGAAGGGGAGAGGGAGAGGCACCCACAGCACTGCCACGTGGGGGACCGTCACCGCCGCTGGTGCTGTGAGGAAGGCGGGAGGGGGGAGATTGCTTTCCCAGGGAGGGGTGGGCCAGCACATGAGCGTTACGTGATCCCACATACAGAGGAGCTCACCTAGCACAGGGCCCGGCACACGGCAGGGACTCGTTAAATGCTGGACAGGTGGGTGGACAGGAGGCAACAGGCGATGAGGGATAAAGGGTGGCTGGGTAGCTGCCGGGAGAGTGGCTGGATGGCGAGATGGACAAGCAGACGGTGGGGTGAATGAGATGATGGAGCCTGCGTGGACAGGGATGGGTGGGTGGACAGGGTGTGGGTGGACAGGTGGGTGGGTGGACAGGTGGAAGGGAAGATGAATGGGTGGGGGGAGTTGTAGGCTACCGTGTTTCCCCGAAAATAAGACTGAACCGGAAAATAAGCCCTAGCATGATTTTTCAGGATGTTCGTAAGATAAGCCCTACCCCAAACAGAAGCCCCAGTTAAGGTCGTCAGCCAGACATGACTGTTTGAATAAGTGGAGATCTTGTACATGAGTAAATGTAGATCGTTGCAGCAAAAGTTAATACAAGACCCGGTCTTATTTTTGGGGAAGCACGGCAGCCGAGCAGGAATGGCTTGTACGTGACTGGACTCAGCGAAGGCTGGACGGACAGGACTGGTGAGGTGGGGTGGGCGGACGAGGAGGGAGGCTGGGAAGGCGTCAGCGACCTAACCAAGTGGCTGTACGAAAACGTTAGAGAAAAAAAGAACAATCACTCCTGCCCTGGGGTGCTGCCACTTACCAGGCTACAGTGACCAGCAGGGGCTGTGCTGCACGCTGTCTCATGGGGGGCCTGGGCTCCCAGTTTCTCTCGCAGGTTCCTGTTTTGTTCGGTGAGGTCCTCCACCTGGCCTTGCAGGCCGATCTCCGACAGCTTCAGCTCATAGATGCAGCAACGCAGCTCCTCCAGCTGCCCACGGAGCCGGCGCTCCGTCGCGCGCTGCTCCTGCAGCCGGCGTGCCGCCTGGTCCCGCTCACGCTCACCCTGCCCGGCCGTCGCCTGCAGGGCGCGCAGCTCCGCGGCCTCCTCCGGGGCGTCTCGGGCACCGGCCGGGCCCGGCCGTCTGGAGCTGCCCGGGGCCGGGGCGTCCAGCTCCGCAAGCAGGAGGCCCGCGGCGCGACACAGGCGTCTCACGTCCCGCTCCAGCCGCTGCACCTGCGCCCGCAGGACGCGCTCCTGCTCGCGCACCAGGCACAGCTGGCGCCGCTGGCTCCGCTGGCAGCGCTCCAGGGCCTCCGCCTGCCGCCCCAGCGCCTCGTCCTTGTGCCGCAGGCGCTCTCGCAGCTGCCGCAGCCGCCCCCGCTGCCGCTGGGCCGCGCGCTCCTTCTCCAGAACCTACAGGTTGGCGGTGGATGAGGCCATCAGGACGCAAGCCCAGGGACGCACCGTCGTTCACACTGCGCCTGTCTTTATTTTTATACTTTGGTATTTTGTTCATCATGGAATATTTACGCATTACAATGTTGCATCAAAAATGTTTATTCATCTCGATTACTGAGTTTTTTGGCGCCTTCTAAAATTTTGCACAGGAGAAGGGTCCCTCACTCATTTCACCCTTGTAGGGACTCTGCCGACCCAGGAGCTCCCTGAGTCCTTGGCAGGAAACTGCAGTGGCCAGGACGGGCATCAGCTGGTGCACACCTGGAGGGCAGCGCCAGTGGCTCCACACCAGTTCCACTGAATGCCTGGACACCAGTTTGTAAAAAGCTGCCACTTGGGGACCCCTCAGGGTCCCCATGTCCACCTCAGGACCTCTCAGATCTGTCCAATTCCCAGTGCTTCCAGGGTTAATTCGCCGCCCAGCAAGAGTCAGCTGGCCCTGGCTTCTAGCTAGTAAGACAGGACCACCAGTGTCACAGCAGCTATTCTGTATTGTGAATAACCCCCTCTCCCCCATGCACCTAGGTACTGTTACTATCCCCTTGGGACATTCAGCAATAGCTTGCATACTACTGCACAGCTAAAGGTCCTGCAGCTGGGATTGTGACCTCCCTGTGACCGTCTCAAAGCCTGGAGAGCACATCTCCCTGTTCTTAAACCTTGGCCTCGCCCCACCCATGAGCCGTGCACTAGACCGGGGTGACACACCCACTGCAAAAACAGGAGTCCTACCTAAATTTTAGAATTAATTTAAGCACATAGGTGGACCTGTCTCCGTATTAAGCTTTCTTTCATCGGCTAGTGCCTGAGGCTGCTCCTCCGAGTTGCCAAAGACAAAGCCAACAAGCAAAGAGGCTGCATTTTCCACAGAGAGGTTCTTGAGGGTGGATCGCATACCACCGCCATGTCTTGTATTAAAAACTCCTCTTGGGGTGCTGATGATGACATGCGATGAGCCCGGGGGGGGGGAGATAACTTGACTTTCTGTACCTGATATTCAATACAAAGGGTGAAAACGCCACTTACATGTCTGCCTGGCATCTCAAAGACTAATTTCAATTTAACTGAACACCTTCTCTCTCCACACTCCACTTCTGTTTCACTTAGTGGCTGAGCCAGTGCTTTTGGAACTTTTTTGACTGCGCCCACTGTAAGAAACCCACTTTCACAGCATGCCCCATTAAACGGTGCACGCATACACTGTTTCATGAAACAGCACCTCTATTCGCACATGTGAGGCCCTTTCATATTTCCTAGTCTATTCCATTTGAAAAATGCAGGTTGTGACTCATAGAATTGATGTCTCAACCCACTGACAGATGTCAATCTGCAATGGGAGAATCACTGCGCTGCTCCGTAAGTCACAATCAACTGAAACAGGATGCCCCTGGGGACCTCTGGGTGCCACGCACAGCTGCCCTCCACGTCTTGCCGTTTCTGCCCCTGCAGTTTTTCCTGAGCATGTCCTGCCCTCCAGTCTTCATCATCTCTCCCCTGGAATATTTCTTTCTTTCGCTTTTTTTGTTGTTTTGTTTTGTTTTTAACAGCCGAGCCATCCTGCCACCTGTTGGCAGCTCGCGGCAGCTCAGCTTGGGCTGGGATTCGAACCGCTGTTGCTCAGAGCTTGCACTCTTGAGCGAGCTCTTAACCAACTGAGCCACTCGGCTGTCCTAACCCCTGGAACATTTCAATAAAGACTAATAATTACAAAAGCAGCTAGAGTTATTTAAATGCTAGTGTTGTAATTGTTTCACACATAGTAACTCATTTAACTCATACAACAGCTCGGGGGGTTCGTACTACATCATTCCCATTTCACAGATGAGGAAACTGAAGCCCAGAGAGGTTAAGCGACTCACCCTAGGTCACACAGCTAGTGAGTGGTAGAGCCAAGGTTTGGCTCCAGGCAACTGCCTCCAAAGCCCACCCCTTAACTGCATGCTGTTCTCCAGCAGCACTCTTAACTTGTCCCCTGCCTCCACCAAATCTCTCCCATGCAATTAGAATGACATTCCCCAAACCCCGACCCTGAGCCTCTCCTGCTCAAGTACCCTACAGCCTGCTTCCCGTTGCCTCAGAATTTGGTCCGTGCAGTGGCCCCTCTGGAACCCTCCAGTCTCACCACCAGCTTCGTCTCCCAGCCCACACCCTCTGCTCTGGTCCTGGTATATTCTCCCAAAGCTCCGTGCCTTTGCCCAGGCGGTTACCCGCACCTCGATGCCCTTCCCGCAAGGCCCAGCTCCCCTGGCCCATGCACACACACATGGCGCCCACATCTCCCTCATGGCGCCCAGTGTCCAGTTTTGGAGTTCTTCGTTTCCTATCTGTGTTCCCACCTGCACTCCAGCTCCTGAGGGCAGGGACCCTGCACCCATCACCCCCTTGCCCTTATTCCAGAGCTGGCTCCCCTGATGTCAGGCACAAAGGCCACAGAAATGAGCCTCTGCCCAGAGCTCCCAGTCCCCGCAGGTCACCCACGCTCTCACACACCCCAGTGGATCCCAGCCAGAGCCTTGTGAGGCGGGCAGCACAGGGCGGGAGGTCCCACCCTACAGATGGGGCCAGAGAGGCCACATGACGTCGCCCCAGGCCCCACTGTGCTCTCCCGGGCTCACCCCACTGTCTTTGCTCAACGGCAGCTGCTACCACGTCCAAACACAGCGGGTGAGCCTGCTGGGACTAGAAACAGGAAGCCTAAGAAAGGAGGGGACCAGTACCTGGCTGGCGAGCTCCCCCTGCAGCACTTCCAGCTCCTCCTGGGCCCGGAGACAGGCGCTCCTCTCCTGGAAGACACGGGCGCTCAGCTGGTCCACCTTCCGGAGGAGCTTCCTCTCGGACAGCTCCAGCTCCTGGATTCTGCAGCACGGAAGCAAGGAGGCGCTCACCCAGGATGCAGTAAACATGGCCGAGGTTCTCACAGACAACGGGGGCAACCTTCTGTTTTTGTCATCTGGCCAATTTAATAGTCTGACAAAATCACGGTTTGTACAACATTCAGACATATCTTTTTAAAGAGGACCTAAAATACTTGGAAGAGTCTTCTGTCTAATAAGGCACCATGCCTCAGAAATCTCAACACTGCTCTCATCTCTAAGCCAGTAATCCTGAGTTCCGGTGAAATAAACTAAGGACTGAGCCTGAAGCAAATATCTGCATTGCTTCAATGAATCTGCACATTACCAGCCCGCAGCTGGCTTTCCTTAGCCTGCTGAACACATGAGGAAACTGAGGATCAGAGATGCCTAGCAACTCGCCCAAGGTCACACAGCATTATAGAGTCCAGACTATCTGACTCCCAGATTCACACTTTTAACCCTGTGCTCTGTTTGAGCTACATTCTTGTAAATCTCTTCCAAGGAAATAATTGAAGTTCAGAAAGAAAAAGTTTCTCCAATTAAAATAATTAAATCTTGTATTACTTACACAAGTGAAAAGTTGGAAATGGCCTAATTGCCTAACAGCTGCGGATGGCAAAGTCACATGAAGGATTTTTGTTATCCTGGGGAAATGGTGAGGTCGTGTCACACACAAAGTGTTACCCAGGCTGGAAGTGAGCCCTGACCGCAGCGATGTAGAAAGGAGAGAAGCACCCATGAGCGGACGGAAGCCCGAAGAAGTCTGGCTCCTGTTCCCACTGGGAGAGGGGGAGCTGCTAAGAAGACTTGCCTGTCGCCTGTTTGTGCCTAGTATCCAAGTCTCCTTATGTTCCAGTCTTACCTCTATAATAGAAACCAGAAAACACATGAGAAGTGCGTTCACAGCTACCGGGACAAGCTCTGCCCTTCCTCACTCCTTCACCCAAGTCCACGCCAGGTGACCTGCTTACCCAGGACAGACTCTGCTTCCCTGGGTGAGGACCTAGCTTTGCCTCCTGGCTCTGCCACTTTCCCACCACAAAGCCCAAACTGGGCCCATTCACCACTATGACCCTCAGTATCTTTTTCTGTAAAATAGAGGTAATTTGCACGTTGCTCAGAGGGCTGTTGTGAAGATTAAATAAAACGATGCATTATTATTGATAATAAGGCCAAGAGTCCCCTCTCCTACTCTAGTTCTGAGGCCCATGGGGAGGGTCTCAAAAGTGACAGAAGGGAGTGTGTCCTCTTGTGTGGATTATAATTGAGTTCCTTGCAAACTGAAAAAGGAGTGGCCCCACGTTAATCAGCCAGAGTGTCAGGCTGAATACCTCTGACTGGTTATAAAATATGGTGCTATCTAAACGGGACAAGAAAAGCCTCTCTTTGGTTTTTGAGACCAAACTGAAACATTAAAGATGAGACAGTGTTTAATTTTTATATTATCCCTGCCCTTAACCTAAGCAGAAAATGACTAGTCTCGCTGCGGCAGGCTGAATAATGCCCAAAACATATCCAGCCCCTAATCTCTGGAACCCATGAATGTTACCTTAAAATGCCATAGAGCCTGCAGATGTGCCTAAGTTACAGATCTTGAGATGGGGAGCAAATCCTGCATTATCTGGGCGGGCCTGAACTGCCGTCACATTTGTCCTTACAAGAGAGAGGCAGACAGAGATTTGACACAGAAGATGAAGACCATGTGACCTCTGAAAAAGTGGGACCTCGGGAGCAAGACGCTACGCTGCCAGCATTGAGGGTGGAGGGAGGGGCCAGGAGCGAGGCACGCAGGGGCAGCTGTTGGAAAAGGCCTGGAACAGCGCCCCCTGCAGCCTGTGCAGAGAGCAGGGTCCCACCCACCGCTGGGCGTTAGCCCAGGGAGCGTGCCTTGGAGTCCGCCTCCAGAATTGTAAGACAATGAATGCGTGCTGTTCTCCGCCACCGGGTTGGCGGTCATTTGTTTTGGCAGCCATAGGAAACAAACGCACTCACAAATGTGAAGCAGACGCTGCAGGAGCTGTCTACTGACGAATGACAAGTTAAAAAATATTAACATGCAGAGCTATAAAGAGTGCTATGAAATTACGAGACTCCCTCAGGGAGCAGGATGAATTCACCCCTCATGGCTGCAGTTGTCATGCTGGGCAGGCTGCCTGGGTACAAGTCCCAGCTCCCCACGTGGCTGGTGTGCATCCCACCTTCAGGGAACAGAGGACACAGCCCACGTTTCCCCACAGGCGGGTCCAGGATGCAGCCCCTCCCCAGACCCCAGCCATAGAGGCCCTTCCTCTGCATTGCTCCCCGTGCCCCCCATCCCGTCTATGTCTCTCCTTCACATGGTGGGGTCTCCTTTGCCGGGTTCCCCACCCATCTTCCCCAGGCCCGTTGACCTTCTGGGCTTCACTGCCAGTGTTTCTGAAGGGAGGTTTGAATGTACCCCCATGTGGGGGCTACACTATTCATCTCTTCAGGGCTGGGCCCTGCGTTCCCCAGCTCTCAACCCCCAGGACTTACGTTATAGGTTGAACGTGTCCCCACAAATTCATCTGTTGAAGCTCTAACCTCAGGACCCAGACTGTATCTGGAGACAGGGTCTTTACCAAGGTAATTGGGGTAAAGTGAGGTCATGAGGGTGGGTCCTAATCCCATATGCCTGGTGCCCTCGTAAGAAGAAGAGTTTAGGACACCGACACACACAGGGATGACCATATGGAGACACGGGGAGAAGATGGCCATCTGCACGACAGGGAGGGAGGCCTCTGGAGGAACCAACCCCACCAACAACTGTTCTTGCATCTCTGAGGCCCAGGACTGTGAGAAAAGTAATTTCTGTTGTTGAAGCTGATCAGTCTGTGGGACTCTGTTGAGGCAGCCCAGCTGACTGATACAGTTTAGTACGTGACCCTTGGGGGTAAGTGCAGATTGTAGAATGAGTGAATGAATAAATGGATGAATGAATAAGTGAATGGACAGTCACATAGAGTGATACAGAGGGTCACAAAATAATTTTTCTGATACAGTAATACCTTGGTTTGCGAGCATAATTCGTTCCGGAATCAAACTACTCGTATTGCAAGACATCGCTCGTTTACCACATTAAAATGTATTAGAAATGTTTGCTCATCTTGTGGAACACTCGCAAAACACATTACTCGAAATCCAAGGTTTTACTATATGTGAATTTCTCCATGTGAAAAGTTTTACAAAGAAGAATAGTAAAGCACAAGTAAATCCATTCAGTGATTTGCCTTTGTTAAAATGAAGGGACGTAGAAGAAAATAGCGAAGGAAGTCCCAGATGAATCATGGCTGCTGGGATATTGGTAAGCCTGTCAGAACTGATTCCGGCCATAACCGGCCTGCATTTTCATGCTGCATTTCTCCTATGATTTACATGCAAAGCCCCATCTCATTCTGCTGACTTAGGTATCAAAAATTGATCCGGAAAGGGCTTGGGCTTTGGAGAAAGACCTGGATTCAAATGCCTAACCTCTGGACCAGGTTGGTTCCATCAGGGAAACAGCCCACACCAGAAATTCAGCAGAAAGAAACAAACACAGAGAATCTGCCACAAAGGTGATGGATGAATGAAAGTCCAGACAGAGGTGACAGGCAACCCAGAGACAAGCGACTACCAGGAGCACATCTGCCTCTGGGGCTGGAGGGACACACCGGAGCAGGTGGTGATACTGGGGCATGGGGTCCAGGTAACCAGCAGGAGCAAGGCCACAGAGGGAGCAGAGTGCATGACGGCGTTGCAGCCACAGTCAGAGGTGTCACCCAGAGCAGAAGAGAGGCGAAGTCCCCTGGCTTCTCCCTTCCTCCTCCCTTCGGTGGTTCCCATTGGCTGGGCCCAGATGGAAGACAGTGAGCCAGACAGCCTGGGACACCTCTCTGCAGGCTCAGCCCCTGTGACAGGGAGCAGGGCACAGAAAAGAGAGAGAAGGAACTGAGAGCCCGTGATGCCACGGGCAGGTTATGTGACATCGGTGAGCCTGTTTCCTCGGCCGTAGGAACGATTCAACACACCACTCTAACGTGGTTATGAAATACACAAAGGATTCAGGAAACACCCAAGAAGAGGACCACCTGGCACGTGTACCTGCTCCTGAGTCCGGACTCTGACGTCACATATTTGTCCACAGCTGCCAATAGCTTCTGCTCTGAGGATTCCAGCTGCTTCCGGAGCGCCCCTGTATCCACATCTGGGCTTCCGGCTGCTTCTTCCGGAAGACATCCCTGCTCCTCACCACTGTCCTCCATGTCCTGGAAGACCCAGGACGTGTCGATCTTCACGTCAACATTCATTACATCGAACCCATCACTGCTGGGGGCTCTGACGACGTAGCTGAAACTTTTCTCAGTCCGTGTTTTAGCTGTTGGCTCCAACTCAGACATAGCTCGTGAGTCAAGACTTAATAAGTCAATGAATTGACAACATCGGCGGTCTGGAGATTTCAAGGTGGGTGCAGTGCCTTCAGATTGTGCAGGAAAATATCCTTTGAGGAGGGCAAGAACAGGTGGATTATTTATGAGTGGGGGACTTGGGTTTCATTGGCACAAGCATCATGCAATTTGAATGAAAGCCTCTCGTTTTACAGGCTGGCATGCCAGAACTCACCCAAAGCAAGAAAACACTGCAGAAACATCACTTGGAATTAAATGCTTAATAATGTGTACAAAGAGGTAAAAATGGATTTCCAGGCAGAACCATCAGAATGTTATAGGTTCTCAGTAGCAAGGCTCAAATTTACACCCCATAATGAATGCATTATGCCTCCTCTTTGAGTGCAGCAAACAGTTGTCAAGGACCTAGCATTCATTTGGCAGAGGGGTTGGGGAACTAGTCCTGCACGGGGTCAGCTCACCTAACCTAGTCCAATTCTCCAGGTAACCGTAGGAGGTGGGCATTATCATAACCACCTTATAGAGGGTGAAACAGAGGCTCCGGAAGCTGGGGGTGGCTTGTCCAGGCCCACAGATGGGAAGGAAAATAGTCAGGATTCAAATCTGGGTCTGACTCCAAAATGTGAGAGATGAGGAATGCACCAAGACAGGAAAAAACGCGTCCTGTGGGCACGCTGGAGCCGGAGGAGTGACTGACAGCTGACTGTGTGACCAACTGAGAAAGCACGGGAGAAGCTACATCCCAGTCCTTCCTTCGAGAAGTGCTCTGCCCACGGGAGGTGTAACCTTCTTCCGTCTCCCAGGACAGGCAAAAGGCAGTTTGAGCCCCAGGGCCTCAGCCTGGGGAAGTATCTTCAGATTCTATTTTAGATACGTAACTAAGACTTTGAGGTTCATTGAAATAAATTAAATGCTCAGGCTTTGAGGGAGATGGAAAGGGATGTGGCCTGCCCGTGGATTATCAACCAACCCCCGTGGGCTTCTCAGGGGTAGAGGCCGGGGGGGGGGGCAGCTGCTGGGACGGGGCCCTGCACCCCAGGGAGTCTCAGCGAGGTTCCCTAAGGCTGAGGGAGGTCACAGGAAGGACACTGGCTGAGAGCAGGGTACCAGGGTTCCCGTTTCTGATGGACCAGCAGCCCCAGACAGACAGTGGACAGAAGGAGGAGGGAGGGGCCACAGCTCCACCCCACCACAGAGCTGGGATCTGCAGGGGATAGCTTGGGGTCTGCAGAAGCCCCCAAGGGTCCTCAGGCAATCTCCAGGAGAGGACCCCAACTGGCTGGTTGGGACCTCCCACCCTCTTTGCCAGACCTCTAGCAGGTTCTGGTTCAATGTGAGAACACAAACAAAAACACACAGGCCACTGTTTGTCCTGGGGGCGGCGGCCGGGACTCCTGCTGGCCGCAAACCGGTTCCGGAAGGTGAGGGAACAGCAGACGCCACAGACCCTGAGACTCAGCCTGCAAGGCGGCAGGATGGAGAAGGGAGGCAGGCGTGGCCGATGGAAGGAAAGACCATGAATTCGCTTAGAAAGCTGTTGAGCTCGTGCTAAGGTAACCACGGTCCCCACAGTGACAGGACATCTGACCCCTGGACTTCTCTGCCCAGCTCCTCACTGGTTGCTGCTGGCCCACCGAGGAGCGAGGTGTCACGGTGAGGCGTGGGAAACCACAGGTGTACGCTGCACCTGGGAAGAGGGTGGTGGTGGTGGAGAGTGGACCCAACCCTTCTCTTTTTGGATGAGTAATTGGCCTTGGGCTCAGCTGACCTGTAGCTCTGCTCGCCTGGAAACCACACACACGTGTGGGATGTCGGCTGCATTACCAGGCAACAACCATCACAACAACCGAGGGGCTGCACCTCACCTGGGCTGTGGGTGAAGTCTAGGTACGCACCTGGTGGGCTGCCAGCACTCAGGTTCTGAGGTTCCCTGAGAACAATGGATCTTGTAACTGGATCTGTCCCTGGCAAGGACCTTGGAAACGATGCCTGGGACTGTCACAAGAAATGCTGGCTCCTACTGGGGACTTTGGTCTTCTAAGCCGAGGCAGCTCCCATACCTGCCTGTGTAAGCCTCACTTCCTCACACCTGAGCTGTCTCCTGGCGGCCAAAGAGAATATCTCCTGGTCCTCGTGGGCTGTATGGTCTCCTTTGAGGATGCCTCCCATTGAAGGAGCACTGAATGTCACCTGCTGTCTCTCCAGCCAGGGTCTGGGAGTCCTGTGGGTCTCTCTAGTTGTGCCCAAAGAAGACCTCTTACGAGGCACTGCATGGGAACTACCACCCCATCCCACAGATGCAGACGGTAAGACTCAGGGTGGCAAGGACTTTGCCACTGTCCACCGCAGGGAAGTGTTTGGGCTGGGAGTGGACCCAGATGGGACTGACTTCGACATCGACACCATTCCAGTCCTGTTGTCTGAGCAGGAGAGCGAACAGGCAGAAGTTTGGACACCGGAGGGCTTGAGGACCACACTCCTGCAGCCGGGAGAGGATGGACACTCGGCGCCGTAGGAACAGCTTCCCAGAGACCTGTGCATGCCTCCTGGACTTCTGCCCACTATGTTAGCAAAGCAGGGCTTCTCGGGGCGTCCTCGACCCAGGGAAAGCAGACGTGCTTTGATCACCTTCCCTGCCGTGTGGCTCCACACGCCCATCACCCCAGGGAGCGCTCAGATGCCTGTTTTCCAAGCAAAGACATCAGTTCATTCCCCTTTGGTCCCTAAATGTTGTTAAGTCATGGGGGCTGGTGTAGTGGGTCCCTTGGGTTTAGATCCAAAAGAGAACGGTCACTTCTCGGCTGTCCTGGTGTGTGTTTGCTTAGAGGCCCTCAGTCCTTTGATTTGGTTTGAACATCCCTCCCAACATGGCTGGGGTGCCCCTTTGTGCCAGTCACCATGTCCGTCTCCATCCCTGGACTTGCCCTCTGAGAACTTTCAGCTCCTCTGTTGGGTCCCCTCCCCTGTTCATTCCCTCGGTGGCTTGGACTTCTGTCGTTTTAGCTTTTGCCAAAGGTTCTTCTCACAAGGATTGCTCTTGCAGCCCAGCGAGCAGAGGGCAGTGACTCTTTCCAGCCTTGGGATTGGTCCATCCTTGCCTTCTGCTGCCTCGCCCAACACCGACCTGGTTGTTACCTCGCACTCACCACCTTCTGTTTCATGCGATCTATTCTGATTCCAAAAGGCTTCCTTCCAAAGGCTTGGGAGAGGACAGACAGGTGGGCAGGCGCCTTCTTCTGGGGCTGCTCCCCCCCACCCACCACCCTAGAAGAAGGACAACAGCAGCATCGAAAAGAACTCCTCCTGTCCGGGATCCCCTCCTGGACCTGACTCAACGGCTGGTGCCCCTTCCTCCGCAGCTGCCCCGCCCTGTCCTTGCTGTTGGGAGGTCTGATTCAGGGGCTGCTCCCCCGAGATCTTCTCTGTGGTTGTAAGAGATTGGCCTGGTCCCAGACCACTGTGGAAGGGGCCTTGTTCCCCACAGACGGTCCAGGGATCACGCCACATCCCAGCATTTCTTCCTCGGCAGCCCCGTGCAAAGTACAACCAAGATGCGAGACAGCCTGAACCCCTCGAGCTGGGGCCATGTCCATCTCTCAGTCCTCGCTCCACATGGCCCCAGACACTGTCACGCTCTGGGACTTTCTCCATGTCACGCCCATGAGAGTGATGGAACCTGAGGTCCATCCCTTGGAGATCTGAGGTACTTGGGGTCTGCCCTCTACAATGGGCGAGGCTCCAGCCCCCCTCTCTCTGGCCACCAGCTGCTGAATCCAGCTGCACATGGACCTAGAGGGTTTTGCTGATGGGGGCTTGACTTTGGGTTCAGGTCATAGGGACATTTGCCAGTCAGTCTGGCTGACAGATGCTGGGTTCACAGGGCAGTTCATGGAGTCATATGTACACGGTCTGTGTCCAGCCAGGTACGCACACCACGGCCAGGGGAGGTATACAGTGCAGGGACGCGGGCCTGTCCCCAGACAGTGCGGTGGCTCTGCCATCACTCAGTTTCTGGTAATTGCACTTAGTTTCCTGGTATTCAGATCTCTGCTGCTCGGGCTCTTGAAGGTACCACAGTCGGGACTCAGATGTGGCCCCGAGACTGACAAAACCCCAATTTTCCCTGCAGAGTTCCTAGCTCCGCCTGGCCAGGACCCAGCTGTAAATCCAAAACGGCCTCCCCATCAAGCTGTCGTAAGTATATGTGAATTCTGGTTTCAGTCTCTGGGCTTTGAATAGCTTTTTTTGCAGTTGAATTTTGGTTTGAGTGGGGTTGGGGTTGCCATAGGAACTCAGTTTATTCCATAAGATCTTTTTCTATCCTGTAGAATTAAAAAATAATTTGATATGACACGAGAACCAAGGGTTAAATGTTTGGAGAAGCCCCTGGCTTCTCTGCTCCCACCTACCCCAACTGCTGTCCTCAACTCCCAGCTGAACCCACTGAGGGACCCTCCCTGACAACCCAGGGGAAGAGGAGACAGGACTCAGATCACCTGTCCTCCAATACCCATCCCCAACCCCCAGGGCTCCCCACTCCTGATCTGATGAGACCTGGCATCAGTCATTCCTTGGCTCACTGCGCCAACACTGAGTGAACTTCAACCACATGCCAAGTGCTGGCCTAGGCACTGCGGCAGAGAAGCTACGAGGCAGAGCCCTTGCGTGCAGAGGTCAGGCTCAGGGCAACCATGAGGACATCAGGCAGGGACCCAGCACCCGAGCTCATGGGGCTCTCAGCCTGGGCTGACATCAGGGACCCTGGCTGACCCCAGTCCCAAGGTGGGCGTTCAGAACAGAGAGAATGGGCGAGGGCCTGATTGCCAGAGCAGGAGCGCAGGGTGAGACACGCAGGGCCCAGTGATCAGACTAGGACCAGCTGCCAGGACGGCTTCCATCTGGAGGTCCCTGAGCATGGCATGGGCATTAAAACCAGGCTGGGGGTTCAAGGGCAGACGTGGGGAGGGGCAGGGAGCTAGGGGCTCTTTGCACAGGCTTCCTGGGCATTTCGTGGAGATCATGGGCCTGCCCATCAGCCTCTTGCTCCTGCAGACAGACCCCTGACCCTCCCGGGAAGCCCACTCTGGCCTGGACCCTAGGGCGGATTTACTGGTCCACAGGCTTTAAAGGGCACCAGAAGCTAAAGCCCAATGGGAAGAACTTGGGTGGAGGGGAAAAGCCCTTTTCAAGATGAAATACAACAGGGGGGCACCAGGTCCCATGGTCCGTGCTTATTCAGAAGGAACTCCCGATCTGCCTCCCAGGGCTGGAGCTCGCCAGTGGGCCTGAGCGCGCTAAGCAGCCTCCCAGAAGCCCGCCTGCCACAGCGCCGCGGCTCCCAAGGAACGGTCAGAGTCGGGAGGAATCCTCCTTTTAAAACAGTCTCATTTTTATCTGAAAAGGAAAGGATACCAACCCGAGTTCTTGGCTCACTGAAGTCATCAAGGCCACAGAATGAATGCTAGTGAGAAAAACAGAAAAAGGAACAAAAACTATAAAATAAGACCAAAAGAAAATGAGAAGAAAAAAAAAGGAAAAGAAAAAAAAAAGATGTAAGATATGTCATATGGAATTCAATGACAGCATCTTATAAGAACTACGACCCTGGGGTTAGGCTTGGAAAGAGAAGCAGGAAGTTAGCTGGCTTCAGCAGCTGCCTCCCCCGGGAAAAGCCACGCTACGGGGCCGGGGTTAACCCCACCCGCTCCCCAAACATCCGGCTAATTCGCCCAGGGAGGTTTACTCCAGGGCCTAGGACTTGTGTGCTGAGATGCGCCTTTCTTGTAGAACCTGGTAGGACAGTATATATATGCTGGAAGGACCCTCTGATGGTCATGGTTGGTGGCTTCCACCAAGGGGCCAGGCAGAGCCCACTCAAGGCCACAGGTCCTCCAGTCCAACCTGCCAGGGCTTCCTCCCCCAAGACAGTCACTATTTAAAGTCTTTTCTGCCACTGGATTAGTCTATTTTAAAAAGAAAAACATAGCAGGAAAAAAATGGTCTTAAAGAAAGGAACAATTGTACAGGTCAGTTTAAAAGTAGTTATTTCTTTTCATTTACTAACTCATGACCTGCTTTGTTCAAAAAGAATTTCTGGTCATTAGGTGAAACAGGTCTAAACATCATCTGGGGCTTTTAGAAAGAATTCTTGTTTGTTTTCTCAAAACAAGGTAATGGCTTCCCAATATTATTCATTGAAAAAGTTAAAATCCAAACAACCAAGTTTTAAACAAGTTTTACAATCATTGGAAGTTAGAGCTCGATGGGGCCAGAGGAATCACCTAGCTCCTCATTTTCTACATGGGGAAACTGAGGCCCAGGGAGCCGGAGGGACTTGCCAACACCACCCAGGGGGGTGTGGCGGGAAAAGTGTCCCCAGGAGCCCATCTGCTCTGCATGCCAGCCTCAGCAGCTCTTTTCTGTGACAAGAGGAGACGGACCCACCCACAACACCATTTGCTTTGAGAAAAGAGCAAAAACGAGTAAGAAAGGGGATTCAGACATTTCCCAGTGATTTTCCCCTGCTCAGGGCCTTTCCACCCTTTTAAAATTTAATCAGCAAGAACAATTATGGCAAGTTTGAGGTCTTTTCTCTGCCATGTCTTGCTCTACGATCCATTTTATGACGAAAGTCGTAAAGCTGGCTGGGAGACAGAGAGAGAGAGGCAGAGCCAGTCTGGGGCCCACCCACTTTGTCTGGACCTTAGCTCAGAATTTTCACATCCTCAGTCTCATTTAATCTCATTTAATCCACCCTAGGAGACAGAGAGTGCCATTTGCAGAGGAAGATGAGCACACCCAGGCCACTGGGAGCAGAGACATAAATCCCCCAGGGTCTCAAGACCCACGTGGGGCAAAGCCAGGACATATCCATCTGCAAAGACAGGTTATCCCCAAGAAATTCTTGAATTGCATTACATTTAAGATCCCCTCGGGTCCTCAAAACCGGAAGGTTGGTGGGTGTGGACATCTGGCAAATGGGGATTCTAAGCATCTGCTTAAACCGGAATTCCCACAGGGGCTTCCAGGTTTCTGGCCGGAAGAACAGCACCATCCCGGTGCTGGAATTCTCCAGCCTTGACCCTCTGCTGCCCCGCTGAGGACGCCGCCGGTTGTGCAGGCCTAGAGGCCCTGAGGTTCCAGGTGGAGAAGGGACATTGCCAGAAAGGTGATCTAACCTGCCTGAAAGCGGACTCTCACGAGAGAAAGGAGAGGAAGCTTCCAAAGCTGACATAGCATCTGAGGAGCTGTCCTATCTCACTGGGGATGTTGTGTTTGACTCCCTCTAGACAGGGGTAGGCTGTCATCCCATTTTTAGAGAGCCCTGAAACGGGACCTCTGGAGGTGGCCTTACTTTGTCTAAGGGATGAGTTGGCTTCCTCTCTCACAAGGCCCACCTCTGACAACTGAGGGTCACAAATGCCCTTTCTCCGTCTTCCCCAAGGTGACTGCCCATCGCCCTTCAAGTTTCAGCCTGGGGTCACACTGTCCCCTACTGACCCCCCAGATGGGGTTAGAGCCCTTCCCCTTGTGTGCACCCGTGAGCTCTCCTTGGTGACATAAAATGTGCAATTATGGGTTTTCTCTCTACTCGTCTATTACTGATCCTGCAAACATTTGATGACACCCTGTTGGCTGGCAAGAACTGTCTCAGATGAAGAGATGAATAAAAGCTGGTCCCTGTCCTCAAGGCATCCATGACCACTGGGCATATGTACAGCAGGCAGCAAGTGCTGTGACAAAGATGTCACGTACACGTGGTCCTGAGTAGGACTCATTTGTCTGCCTGGACCAATAATGCATGGTGGAGGGTCTGGTGACGTGGCTGTGACATCCCTAGACTAGCTGTTCCTTCCCAGCTGTGGCATCATGGGCAAGTGTCCGAATCTTTCTAGGGTTCAGTTCTTCCTCACCCACAAAATGGTAAAAATTGTAGAGAGACAAATGGTGCTAGGTGTCAACATGTGACAGGCCAGCCTCCATTCCTTCTCGGAGGGAAGACACTTCCAAGAACACACAGCTGGCCTCTGGCGTACAGATGTCATTGGACATGAATGAGTCTCTAGGAGAGACTAATGCCTGTGGCTGATTCATCACCAAAAAAAGGTCGCCCCAGCCTTCCTAGGGTGGCGGTGGCAGAAGGATTCAGCAGGTCTTTTGTGAAAATAAAAGACATCCCCCCACTCCCCACACACAAAGCTCATCCCAGACTGCACTTTTCTTTCCCAGAAAAGTGCTTGAAGCAGCAACTTGTTTCTCGGACATGCCGATTTGGGGAGATGGGGTCGACAAGGGAGGGCTGGAGACAGAGGCTATTCTTTGTGCGTTACGAGCGGGCAGGAGCGAAGAGGAGCTAATGTCTCTCGGAAACAGGCCCAGCCGGTGGCCCGAGCTCAAACCACCTACCTTTTCCTCCAGTTCCTTCAGGTGTCGCCGCTGGACCTCCAGCTTGTCCTCCAGTTCTCGGATTTTCTGAAACACATTACGTTATGTATCAGAGGTGACACGTCCAGGTGCTCAACCTTATGCTTCCTTGTTTACCGTGTGCAGCATAGAGGCAGTGGCGCGTGCAGACACCACGTGGCCAGCTCGACTAACTTTCACTCCTGTAGGTGCTCAGGCCTGGATCGCCACCGCCCAAACGGAGATGGAGAGCCTCTCTGGAACCCAGGTGGCTCCTCAGGCCCCCAAAGGGGTTCTGTTCTGACCTCATTCACTACAGACTGGTTTTGCCTGTTCTTAAAGCACGTAGAAATAGAATGATACAGTGTGTACTTTTAAGAGAGGATCTCTTTAAAACATAACTATCAAGACTGGGCCAAGACATGAAAGCACCCTGGGCAGGACCGTGGATTTGAAGCAGCACCAAATTATGGGCTTTCAATTAGCTGGACCCTGGGTGCTGGGGCAGAAGCAGCAACTGCCAGCAGGAGGCATCACCCAGTAACACTAATTATTAGTATCACCCACTGTCCTGATGGGTCTCGGGCATTCCTGGTTTTAGCACTGAAAGTCCAGGGGCCCGGGAAACCCTTCAGTCCCAGGCACACCGGGACAGTTGGTCACCCTACCTGGCACTGTGCCTGCTGGATGTCCCTGGAAGCACTCACCCTCCCTCGGTGACTTATAATCAGTTCCTTTCAGTTCCACCCAGAGGGGCCGGCAAGTACAGCCCTCTTGTCTGTCATATGCCCAATAGCACTTTGTCACCCCTCGAGTGCTGGTACCCCGCCACACACACACACAGCTACCCAGCTGGCTGCAGGCTTGCCAGGCCTCATTCAGAGAGAACGCTGTCAGGCTGAAGGCGGAAGACTCAGGCGAGCCTGGATAAGCACATGGCTTGCACATATCCTTAACCAGGCCGGGATTCAGACCTCGGATCAGCGCCACCTGGAGGGCTTGCGAGGGTGCAGACGGCTGGGGCCCTGCCAGTTTCTGACCTAGCTGTTCTGGGGGTGGAGCCGGAGAGCCTCACTTCCCACAAGTTCCTGGTAGTACAGATGCTCTGGGGGCCCCACTTTGAGAAGCACATTCACCCACCTGGCAAATATGGCTCAATATGCCCGGAGCCAAACAGGTTCCGACAATGGCCGCATACAAATACACAGTTGGTACACGGGGCGAATACAAATGTCACGGAGAAAACGAAGCAGGGATGGGGAAGGGGACGGTGCCACTTTATATGGCTGCTCAGGGAAGGTCACACTGGAGCGGTGAGGAGGTGAGGAGGGGAGACATTGAACCGTGGGCTGGGGGAGCCCAGAGGAGGCACAGAACCCAGCCTGGGATCTACGTGGGGAGGTGGTGAGCAGAAGCCAGATCTTGGGGGTTCTGGAATGTCCTGATGAAGAGAACACAGATTTGGGGGTGTCACAGGGAACCAGTGAAGGGTTTTAAGCAGGGAAATGATGAGATTTTGATTTTACAAAGATAATAATGGCAGCAAAACAGAGGATAGGTTGGCATGGAAGAGACTCAAAAAATACTTATGCTCAGATGTGGGACCTTGGGCAAGTTATTCAACCTCTCTAGCCCTGGTTTCTTTATCTGTAAATTGGGGATAATCGCGCTGACCTCAGCTGAGGATTTATCGAATGAACCTATGTGAAGTGCTTAGAGCAGAGTTGGCACAGACTGCAGACTCTACAAAGGATTAGGAAACTGGCAACTTCTAATTCTCTTCTACCTGAGGGAAACCATGTGTTACCTCAATCTGACCATGACAGTCCCCAAAGGTCCCCTTGCAAGGTGGGGAGGCAGAGAGCATCTGAGATTGAGCAGAGAACTCAGCTAGACCCTGGCTTGGATCCTGGGCCTCAAGCTTACCAGCTGGTGAACTCTCTCGGCCTAAACCCCACTTCCATAATATCCGCAGGGGTGACCCCGTTACCATGAGGGTGAGATGGGGACCTGGGTGCTTGTAAACTAAAGTACCATGTGGAGGGAGGACAATGCTTTTCAGCTTTCAAAGGATTTGCAAAAATCCCCAGGAACAACTTATGGGCTCTCAAACTCACCTGAGGAGATGGCTCTCCTAGTCTTCCCCGACATTACTCTCAGGTAATAACCAGGGTCAGCCGCTCATCAAGGTACGGAAGGCCAGAGGAGCAGTGCTTAAGCGTTTCCTGATCTGATGACCTGATTCCCATCCCAGCTCTGCCACTTCCTGGCTGTGTGACCTTGGGCAAGTGGCTTACCCTCTCTGAGCCTCACTCACCTCACTGTGAAAATACCTCAGTGGTTCCCACTCATAGTGTCGGTGTGAGCTTTATCCAAACAGCATTTATGGAGCTCTTCCTATGTGCCAGCACTGCTCTGTCTCCCCATAGTAGAATATAAGCTTTATGAGGGTAAGTGTTATGCCCCCAGCACCTGAAACAGTGCTCGGTAAGTAGACATTAGAAAAACTACAAATAAAAATGGTGTAATATCAAGCAAGGACAAGCTCGATAGAGAGGTGGACGATGCATTGTAGAGGTCAGCACGGGGCCGAGGGCTCAGGATGTCAGGTAAGCAACCCAGGCTTTATCCTCCGGGCAGTGGGGAGGGTCTTTGGGGAGGGGTGGTGACGTGTTGTGTGTTAGGAAGGCTGCTTCTGTTTGGTGCGGTGGATGAATGGATAAGCAGGGAGAGGGGCAGTGGGGAGGGTACTGCAACTGCTTGTGGTCCCGGCAGGTGTCTCTGCAGGGCAGCTGGTGGGAGATGAGGGGTGTCCAGTGCCCACAGGGGGCAGGTGGGGTGCAGAAGCCACAGGGAGGTGGCGAGCGCCAGGGCCAGGCCCAGCCCCTCACCTGCTGGGCCTGCTGCAGCAGCTCCATCCGCTCCCGCAGGATCTGGCTGTCGAACTCCCGGCTCTGCCGTAGGATCTGCCTGCGCACCTTCTCCACGGCCGCCTGCAGGTCCTCCCGCTGGCCCTCGCTCAGCGTCTCGCTGGCCCTGCGGCCCGGCTCCTGCTGCAGCGCGTCGTACAGCGTGGCCTCCAGCTCCTGGATTTTCTGAGCGGCCCAAATCACACAGACAGCGGAAGGTCGCAAACCGGTGGCCAGGACCCAGTGGCCCAGGGAGGCAACGCCTGGGTGGGGGACAGGGCGGCATGCAGGGGCAGGCACAGCCACCAGCAGTCCCGGGAGGAGGGGTGAGGGGAGGGGGCTGGGAGCCCCTTCCAGCCCCGTGTACATATTTTTGAGAACGTGTCTTACTTGACTCAAAGGCAATAAGAACAAATAACCATAACCACCCCTTAAAATGTGTGAGTCAGAGAGAGGTTTGATTCAACTGGTTCTTATTTTATCCCTGGCTTCTAATGTACTTCCCCACCTTGGGAACAAGTCTCCCCTTTTATCATGGGTGCCGATGGAAAAATACATCCCAAATCACACACATTTAGTTTATAGCTGGCTAGTTAGGAAGGCAATTTTAACCCAAAGCAAATAGTGACGATGTTGTAATTGTCCCCCTAAAAGAGTGAAGGAGAGATTTGTGCCCAGCTGGAGGACCCCTGTGAAAGCTCAGAGTTTTAATCATTAGAGGAGGTGATTTCTTTTATACTTCACAGCAAAACACTTAAACATAATTACCTTATCAGACTATCTAGCAAGAAAAGAGAGAATAATTACCTCCTTCTCTGCCTCCCTAAATCCCCACCCACATCCCTTCTTAAGGTATAGCTCCTGCTCACACTAAGACAGCACAGACTAGTCATCAGTTTAGATGGAAACGGACAAAAAGAGGCGAGAGATGGTTTGAGGCTGGAGGTCAACAATGTGACCCTCTGCTACTGTCTGGCCACCTGCACTTCCAGCGTCCTCTAGCCTCAGCACGACAGTGCCAGCTCCCTGGAGGGATTCCAGGCCCATGAGGCCAGGACTAATTTCAACCAACAGGCATTATCATCTCCCTCTTCCTGAACCCAGCAGCTGCCCCTGGGAAATTAGAAGGTGGGAGTCTGTCCACTGGCACAGCAGAGGGGTCCCCCTGTGCGCTCTCCATGGAGCGGGAGCTTGCCTGTGCCTGCTGGCTCAAGCCCTCTCCATTCAGTGGCCGAGCTCCATGGAGACCCCCATGACACCAGCTTCCAACCAGGACCCCACCGCCCAACTCCAGAAGCCCCACTGTGGCTCTGCCCCCTCTCGCTCAGCTCTCACTCAGCTCAATGACAAAGGCACGTAGGCATATACCTGCTGTGCTCACTCCTGCCCAGGCACACGGCACTGCCACCCTCCTGGAACATTTTACGTCCCTGGCTGTTCGCGTCAGTCTAGCGCTATGTGAGAACTCCAGTCTTGTCGTGCCCTGGAAATCCCACTTCAGGCCTTGGAATTGTCTTTGTGAATGAACGTAGCTCCTACACGGTGGCAGGGTCAGCACGCGGAGGGGCCTCCTCTGCAGAACCAAGACTTGGAGGGTCCCCCAGGGCCTTTCTGCATGTGGTACTTTGACAACAGAGGGTGGACACCAAGGTTTTCCAAGGTGTGTTGGGAAACATCTGTCTTAGAAGATGTCCCTTGAAAAGAGGGCCTCATGATCCAGGCAACTGGTAAACTAAGTCTCAGCCCATTCTAGAAGACCTGCAGAGTTTTGCAAACTTATTCTATTGCAGCCCCCTTCCCCGCCCCCTTTTTCATGGCTTGAAGTTCCTGTAATAGCTCCTAAAATTGTATTCTTCAGAGCTTTTTGGGAAAAACTTGAGGAGGGCAGTGCTGCTTGACAGAGATGGTGTATGGTGTACCGTGTAAGAGAAAAAGGGGGCTTGCAAAAGGACCAAGGCTGGACAGAATCAAGGAAAATCCAGAAACATGAAAGAAGGCGAGACAAGGATGGGTATGCTTTCATTTCTAAATTGCCCTTAAACATGGTTACAGCCCTGTGCGCCCAGAAACAAGGACTGAGAAGGAATATGCCATGTCTAATGAGGCGCCATCTGTCCTGACCTTCTGCGTCTCCTGCCGCCTGCCTCACAGCTGGACACGAAGGGCCATGGGTCACTGTGAGGGGGACCAGCCTCACACCCAGAAGCTAAGCCCATGTCTCCCTGCTCTATGTCTCCCTGGAGACGCTCATGGAAACTGGGGTTTGAACGTGGATTTTCAGTTATTGACTGCATTTCTTAGGTAAAAACCCATTTTGTGAAATGATTTTAACTACGAGTGATCTGGGCAAACACTACTTTTTCCTGCAAGGAGCCACATCGAAGTCTAAATTCTTTCTGCTGTTGGAGACATCCTGGAAAGGCCGACTATCTCATTATCTCACCCTCCCAAGAAAGAATTTCCCTCAGTGCTAGGACCACTCAGCTTGGAGTGTCCTCAAAGCCATATGACATGTGAACCTGAACACGATCGTTTACCAGGAAGCCCAGGCCCAGTTTTGTGATCCAAATGCTATAACGCAGAGGACTTTACAAGTAATGTTTGTTCTGAGAATCACCCGCCTCTACTCCTTGCTTTAGCTCTGTCTGTGTTCCTTTGTGACTATATCTTTTTCCTAGTTATAGGAACACTTGCTTTGGGGTTTTAAGCATAAATAAATATTTAAGTTTAAATAAACATAAAGTTTCTTTTCATTTGTGTCAACTGATTACTAGAATTAAACAACCATGTCTAAAGAAATCAGCAAACTAACTACTTTTGAAAATCATGATTGATTTGGAAAAGGCAGCAATTTATCCGTAGGGTCATTCCTGCCGCAACATGGAGATGGCGTTTTTATCACTCCCACACAGCGGGGCGAGGACCCTGAATGCAGTGTCAGCCCCGAAGGACAAAGCAGCCTCTGATGCTGGGTCTAAAAAAGCCCAAATGTGCAACCCGCTCCTGGTCCTACCAGGTAAGCCTGGTCCAGGGCCTGCTTCCTGTAGTCGAGCTCCTCCTCCAGGTAGCCCTTCTGCCTGCTGAACAGGTCCTGAAAAAGAGGAGGAACAAGGTCAAGAGAACCCGCCACAGTGCGGCTCTTCAGAGCCAACCTACGCGCCTCTGCTCGAGTGACAGTCTCCCCGAGTTAGGGACACTCAGGTGAGAGGGATGTGGTCAGCTGCTCGCTCGCGCCCTGGGTGACTCCCCTGGTGGGAGCCTCACCGGCCCAGGAACCTTGACGGAGCCTGTCCCAGCCCCTCCTGGCTTCCGTCCTCACGGGTGTCTGACTGCGATGAAGGGACACCCCTCCGGCCTGGTTCCCAGCCCCGACTGCAGGAATCCTTCCGTGTTCCTCTTGCCACGTCCTGGTGGCCCCTGAAGCCCATCTCAGTAGTTCCCAGATGCAGCTCTTCCTCCGCACGTGAGCAGCGTCATCCACCCACCTCCTCGATAGTCCCACTGCCCTACGTCTCCCCCCCACCTTCCAAGCCACTCTCTCGGTCCCTACAAGCACCGCCATCTCTCCAGATCACAAATCTTTCTAGTACTGACTTGAGGGTTTCAGGGTTAGAGCTCATCTATTGCATCCATTTGATCGTACAGATGAGGAAACAGAGGGCCCGAGAGGACCAGTGCCCGGCCCTAGATGCCTCGTTCACCAGTGGCAGGTGGGGCTCTTTCCACACCACACACTGCCCCAGGCCTCAGGCTGTTCCTTCCACCTTCTTCCTTCTCCTCTCATTGTTGCTGAGAAAACTCAGCCATCCCACGGCTGGGTAAACTGGCTCCCTCCCCTGTACGCCTGCTCACAGCCCCCAGTGAACAGCCACCATGAGGTGCCCGCGTGCGCCCAGCACTGAGCAATTGCAGGCTGTATTTCGGTGTCTCCCATCCCCACAGCCCAGCGAGGCAGGGACTGGAACCCCATTTATCGATGAGGAAACTAAGGGCCAGTGCATCTTTCCCCGGCTCACAGCCAGGAAGGGGGACAGTGAAGACCGGAGCTGCATCTGTGTGTGTCCAGAGCACTGGGCCAAGCACCTCCGTGTCACCAATATGCCTCTCCTGATGCTCCTACGCTGCACTGTGGCTGTCACTCATGAGCACATGCCCCTCCCCCAGGCTTGTGAGCTGCTCCTCGTGGTCCCCCTACTCGGTACTGAGCCTCTAACCCTGGCAGGGCCCCTGGGATAGCAGAGGGTCCCAAAAGATGTGTTAAGTGAATAACAAAGAATGGATGATAATTACCCAGAACAGCACTAGAGCAAAAGCAGTAGAAACACATGTGAACAAATAATATGAAAATACATGCAAAGCCTTCCTGGGAGCGAATCGGCTGAGCCCTTTCAGGCTCCTCCCACCCAGGTCCAGGCTTTTACCTTTTCCTTCTCCAGGTCCAGCATCTTCTGGGTCAGGGCTGCCTCGGTTCCCTCTATTTGCTTCAGCCACTGAAAAAGAGCAGGGATGGAGGGCACAGCAGTGAGAACCAGCAGCGCTCGGCTCTGCCAAGGCCGAATGTGCAGGGGACCCCTTCCTAGAAAGGACTCGGGGCTCCAGCGGGTCCCCATCGCATCCCGGGGTGAGCCTCGAAATGGAAATTCTAAGTCTGTACAGATGTTTCAGCTGTGATGGACCGGCTGGGTCATGGACACACACGTGTGCATGTGCCCATCGGTGGGTGGGGGTTGTGTGCTGGACGAGCCTGTATGGAGCGGAGGCAGCCAGTGTGAGTGGTGTGGGAGCCTGGCTCAGTGTGCTCGCAGCTGGGCAGTGAGCGTCCCTGAGGTGCTCTGCCGAGCGCTGTGCTGGTGGCTTCATGCCTGTGACCCCATCTGGCCCTCTCATGGCCACCCCGTAGAGTAGGCAGCATCGCCCCATTTTCCAGGTGAAAATGTGGCGGTTGAGTGAAGTCACTTGTCCAAGGTCACACAGGTGGGGAGCAGGAACTTTGAACCCAGCCTGCAGCACCGCCCCACGGCAGCAGACCCCTGTAGCCCCTAGCAGTGTGTCTGAGCAGCCAGGTGGCTGCACGGTGGGGCGTGGGTAGGAAAGGAGGTGGGGGCTCAGCTGTGAGGGCTTGAGAGCCACATTCATGCTGAGTACCAGGGCATGAGGGCTCTGCGAGCATGGGCGGGCGCACCTGCCAAGGGGTGACAGGAGGCGGGCAGCTGTTTCCCCGGGTGTGGTATGCAGGTGAGTCCTTGTGAAGAGCTCACCTGAGAGACGGGAGAAGTCCCCGTAACTGGGTGACCAGGCCCGTGGGGGATGCTCGGGGATCCGGGATGGAAGACGTGCAGGAAGGAATGTGTGTCTCTGACCTCCTTATTGCTAAAGCCCACAAAGCACCTCCCTGCCCCCCTGCCACCTGTGGACCACGTCCCTTTGCTGATGCCCAGCCCCTTAGCTGCCATGTGCTCCTCCTTTCCCTCCTCTGCTGAGAACTCTCGGTGCCTTAGGAGCCCTGCCCTTGGCCTCCCCACTCCTGCTCCACACTCCTCCCATGCTCTCTCTACACTCCCTGAAATGTCTCCCCCAGCTGCGCCCCGCCCCGCCCCACCCCTGCACACATCTCCGCTTAGATGCCTCCCAGGTCCCTCTGTTGGGGAAGAGCCCCCATTTCATCCGAACCAGGAAGCTGGGGCAGCCTCGGCGCTCCCGTCCCTTCACTTCCCATTTGTTGGTTCCGCCTCCACCAGTCTTTCAAGCCCACCCACCATACTCCCTCCCCATTGCTGCCTCCCACCCCCATAGCCTCCAGGGTCATATCTGACCCCAAATTCGTTTCTGCCAGCCCTCCAGCCTGCAAGTTCTCTCAAAAGCATGCATCTACTCATGAAACGTCCTTGCTTCTTCTTGAAGCCCTGGAGGATATCCTGTGACTCAATCACTCCTGACAATGTCTGCCACATACAAGCCAAGCCTTCCATCACCCCAGGGCCTTTGCACATGTTGCTCTCCCTGCCGGGAACATCGCCACCTCTCCCAAGCCCCGCCTCAGCCCCAGGCCTGTGGTCAGCTAACACCTCCTCAGCCTTCTGGGCCTGAGCTAGCTGCTGCCTCCTCCAGGAAGCGTGTCCTGCTTCCTGAGTCCATAGCAGGAGGGGCCCTCCATGGGGCCACGCGTCAGCTTGTGAGTGAATGCCTGTCCCAGCACCCACCTGACAGGCTGCTGTTGTCTCCCTCCCACTCTAGCCCCCAAAGGTGGGGATCTCACAGGACGCTTTCTGTTCCATTTTCTTACCCAGCACAGGGCCTGGCAGGGAGCAGGTGCCTAACCAGCAATCGCCGGAGGAGGATGTGAGGGTGTGGAGGTCTGGAGGGGGGTGTGCTGGCCCCATAGAGGGAACAAGACCAGATAGAGCTACAGTCACAGAGGCCCCCTCCTAACGTCAAAGTTACCCCAAGAGGCGCCCCCAGCCAGCAGGAGATGTAGGCGCCCAACGAGCATTTTGTTAGACTTTGCTGAGAGGGCGTGTGTTGTCTTAGAAACAGGTAAGCATATTTTGGGGCGGGAGAGATAATATTTCATTTTTAATATCCTGATGTTCACATTCATAAAATTAAAATGGGAAAGATCCAATTTTAAGTTACGATGACAAGCTAGTCTTAGAACAGGTTTTAGAGAGCACGGTGCCAGGTTCTCCTTTATTGTTAAAAAAAAAGAATTGATATACATATTATACCCACAGAGGAAAATCTGACGAGTCCTTTTCAGCAAGTGGGTGAATGAGGGCAGAGTGCAAGCCAGGAGCATGCTGGGAGGCGAGGCCAGGAATTTGAATCAGAGGCTCCTGCCCGGATCTGTTGAGCCTCATCCTAAGAGTGAGACTCTGCGGGCTCCTGGCTCTGCACCACCCTCCAGTGGCCAGGGGTCTGGGGATGGGGACACCTGCTTCCCACAAACCCCCAGGGGAGCGGTGAGTCAGCCCACTGGATATGGGACAGGAGAACTTTCTATGGGGAGCATGGCCAGTGCACCCCTGCCCCAGCCAGCTCTCACATGCCCCTCAGGTGCAGGGCCTGATCCCCAGGACTTGGGGAAAGGGGGGGGGAACTGTCTCCTCTGAGCCTAACGCTCCCTTCAGAGAAGGGTCCCAAGGGCTCCGCTCCAGGCCAACTATTAGAAAGCTTAACTGTGGCCGATGCCTAAGCCACCCTCTCTGATCCGTTGTTACCAGCGAGAACACGGATTTTTAAAAACGTCCCATTTTTCGAATGGTTTTGAAACTTGGGGAAGTTTGTGAACTGGCCTCCACCGGACACCTCCTACGGCCCGCATTTCAGCCCCCTCTGCCGGGCAAGTGCGGTTCCGGGGGCGGGGAGGAAGACGTGGGCCCCTGGCTAACCAGAGGCGGGTCTGGGGCGCTGAGACGACAGGGCTTGCCCGGCGTGGTGGGAAGAGGGCGGGCTTCCAGGGCAGAACGCCATTTGCAGCAAGATCACCCAGGAACATGGTGTGACAGTCCTAATTACAGTGGCATCTCACTTACATGCTACGAAAGCAGCTTTGTGCCTCTAAATAGAAAATGGAAGTTGCCCTCAGTTTGCTCAGATACTAGAATTGAGAGACAGGTTTTTAAATGAGGTGTGTTTGGTTGAGCTGGGCTGACTGACAGCTCGTAGGCAGGGGCCTCAGATCACCCTTCCAGCTTTCCTTTAGCACGCATCAGCTTCAGGGTGACCAATTCGTCCCTGTTTGCCCAGGACTGTCCCCATTTCAGCAGTGGGATTCCCACGTCCCAGGAAAACCCTCAGTCCCGAGCAAACCAGATGGGCAGTCACCCTGGCTGTCCCTGTCAGCGATCTCAGCCGGTCCTGCTGACCCACTTTGCTTTGGGGGCATGGCAGGGCTAGTGTCTCCTGAGAAAATAAGAAAACACTGATCTAAGTCCAGTCCCCCAAAAACGGTCACAAATGGGGAGCTGGGCCCCTCCCCCCTGGAGTCAAGCCCTCTTAACATGAGACCCCAGGTACCACCCACCCTTGTGGGATTTCTGGAGGAGCTGGCAGGCGAGGGAGGCTGGCACAGCTCTTGGTGTTTAGGGCACAGAGCATGGTGTCAGGCTGACCAGCTTGGCAGGGTTTTGGGGGGGCACTGGTAGATGGGAAATGGCTGCAGAAAGTGGGTGGGGAGGGTGACAGGGACAAACAGATGACACATGCCACGCAGGCCCCCTTTCCTCAGCTGTAACGGGGGATGTGTCCCTAACCTCACATGTTGCTGAGAGCAGGAGCCTGAAGGATCTAAGGCGGGGCCAAGGCGTTGGGTCTGGAACACCCGCCATTTGCTGGGTGTGGCGAGGAGCCTGTTAGGAAGGGCCCAGGGCGGGAGAAGTCTCCACGAGGCTGTGAACTTCCCACAGTCTGCTGCCCTCCCAGGACACTCAGGGGGTGGAAGAGAGGAAGAACCCCCTCAACCCACGGTGCCCACCTCACACCAAGCCAGCCACCCAAGTCACTGGCAGTCCCTGCCCTTTGCTCCCCACCCACGAACACTGATCAAACACCTCTCGGGCCCACTCTTTGTCGCAGGTGCTCAGTAGCAATGCTTGGTCCTGCTCAAACATGCCGTGTCCAGGAGCCCAACACCCATCCTGCAGGGCACGCCGCTGTCAGATGTGCCTCCGTGCAGAAGGCCTGCAGCCACGAGCGGCAGGCTGACAGTAACCCAGGAGGGTCCTCTCGAAGATGGGGAGGGACGTGCTGGGTCTGACTTGGCCACACCCTCCCATGGGCATGCTGTGGGCTGGGAGGCTCTTTCTCAGCGAACGTTGAATAAAGTGAGATGTGTTTACTCAGCACTTCATAGGACACTCCCCAGAGCACTGCTTTGTGAGGGGGGCCAGTCACTGCGCTTTGTACATTCAGTCACAAGGGGCGGTTACTGAATGCACACCACTGCCTGACACCCCAAGGCTACCTGCATCTCACGGCCCCCCAAGCAGCCAGGTGAGTCATCACCAAACACCTCCACACACCTGAGGACAGGCTGCCAGGTGAGTGACCGGGGAGTCGCCACTTACCACCTGTGTGACCTCAGGCAAGGCTTTGCCTTAGTCTGTGACCAACATTTAGTGCCCTTTACATGGCTAGGGAGGGTGGACAGGTGCCCAAGGAAGAAACTATTTATATTTTAAATGCCCTTCCAAAGGTTCCAGAAGGAATTCTGATTAAGGTCATTAAGACCTCATCATCAGAAAAGTAGCATTTTAAAGTTGAACTCATGTGCTCTGAAAGGAAAAGATCTATAGATGCAACTACATAACAAGTTCCATATACCTAAAATATCCTAAAGTAAGTAAAAGGTAAACAAACCAGCAATGTATTTTGAACAAACATGGCAGAAAGTTATTATCTTTACTATGTAAAGTACGCAGAGAAGTCAGCAAGGAAAACCACAATTATGAATGAAAAACAAACCCAATGGAAAACTGTCATAAGAAATATGTCAGCTCATAAGGAAGAAGAACATAGATAACACACAACAAACACTATCGCTAGCACCCCAATAAATGAAAATTAAAACAATGGCATCGTAGAATGTGCAGCTAGCAAATGAGAGTTGTTAAGTGGTAATTTAGTGCCACGTTGAACAAGAAGCAGGCGATGTGCACCACTCAGGTACAAGGGGAGCTGGTACCACGTTTCCGGAAACCATTGTGACAATAACAAAGCTCTTAAAAAGTTCTTACCAATCGGCCCAGTGATTCCACTTCTAGAATCTATCCTGTGGAAGTGTTTTTAAAGATAGACAGAAACTTATGCGTAAAGCTGTTCACCGCTGCGTGATGGTAAACAGAAAAAAGCGGAAACGCCCTCAATATCTAACAGCAGAGGGAAGATTAATTAAGTGACTTAGGCTGTGGCTGTATGGTGGGACAATGGGGCCCGTCAACGACGGGGCGTGGCGGGGAAGCTTATGATGCAGGATGAACCCTGGAAGTCAAGTATGAATTCAACTTAGTTTAAAAAACAGGCATAGGGTGAAACCCGGAAGGAAACAGACCAGATGTCACAGATGGTTTCCTGGATGCGGGGGTTATTTCCTTCTGTGGTCTCTCAGTTTTCTGCAACAAGCGTGAGTGACAAGGCGTGCACGTGCACATGCAGACGCAGACGGACAGACGTGCATGCGCCACGCAAAGCGAGACACCGATGTACAGTTTCTTGTATGGTGCTGGGCAAGCCCGGACAAGGTGACGGACAGAAACGCCGCTGGGCTCTACCTTTTCACACAGGGCAAGCACAGTTCCGGCTTGGATTATTGCCACCTGTTCTTCATTTCTCAAATTCTAAAACACAAAAAACGGGCAAGGGCGTTTGACGCGGGATCCCACCGGCAGCGCGAAACAGCTGACAGCAGCCCCCACTCTCTAGAGGGACCAGCCGTTACAGGCAGAGGGGGCCGCGCTGAGGTCTGGCCCTCTGCTTGGCGATGGCTCGCGGAGCGGCACCAAGCCTTTTGGGAACAGGGCCTCCTTCAAGCCAGTCTTTTAGGGAAGCAAAACTAACACTTTCTGGTTTCAGGAATCTTGAGGGATTCCATTTTCTTTCTGGCTATTCATGTCTATGCGTTTTGTCCCTCATCACTCATGGGCTGTGAGGATACCCTAACCTCAGAACCCCACTTCTGACAAATGCGGACCCAGCCACACCCCCAAAGGAACGTGGCCATACAAAAACCTTACATTGTACTTATTAGATCTCTTAAATTAGGAAGAAATGAAACCAAATAAAAACAAAAGCCACACAGAGTACACCCGAATCGAAACAAGAACACGAAACCGGAAACCGATCGCTCATAGTTACCCCGTTATCGCCAAGGATATCTAATTTCTTCATAAGTTCAGAAATATTCACATCCTAGAAAAGATTTCCAACGTTCATTTTCGTGTGGGTTACAAAGAGCACCCATACCAAGAACTCGCGGTACAGGCCTCTGTCCTCCATTGGGCACCACACCCTCTCTTTCCTTTTAGGACAGACAGCGGGGCGAGAGTTGCTCTGAGCGGCTCCTTCGGGGAGGGAGGGACAGAAGCCCTGCAGCCGCTGCTCTGGGCCTGAGTTTTACGTCAGCACAAACACTGCTTTCTAGAAAGGCCCGTGGTATCCTGTGGGTCGGAAGGACCATCTCTGTGCCCACACGGCCTCGCAGGACTCCAGGCGCAGGGCAAACACTTGGCTGCTAGAACAATCACAGCTACCACGTCCAACGTACTCACTTACACGTGGCGACTGTGCTGTGTAACTGTCCCACCCACTTCACCGTGCGGGCATCGCCGTTCAGGTCTCACTGACAAAGAGACGGAGGCTCAGAGAGGTGACAGGCCAGAGCTAGGAAGGGGTCACGGTGGGGTCTGCACTCGAGGCCATACCCAAGTCTCTGCTCTTTTGACATGGGTACAAAGAGAGTAATATTTGGTGACCCGCTAAAATAATGAACTATGGCTTTCAAAATACGGTGGGCGGACAGGGGTATCTCATTCAAATGAACTGCATCCCTGGCACCAGGACACATTCCCCCTTCACGGCAGAGCCTCTGGCCAGCAGTGGCAGAGGCACCCCCCAAGCACGCTACCTTAACTCCTTCCTGGTGACAGAAAAGCTGGAGAGCGCTGCTGTTGTTCTCGGGGAAGGTGGTGATTTGGAGGTTAAATGCTGGCGACCTCCGCTCTCTCTCCTGGGGAAAAGACTTGGTTTAAAAACAGAACTTTCTCGAATCATTTACCACTTGCCATTTTCCCACGTTACTCCGCAAAACCAACGAATTCCAGTTGGCAAAGACGTTACTAAAAAAGCGCACAGACTGCGCTATCCTCATCCACCCGCGCGCGCGACGTCCGTCTCTGCGCCCAGCGGGCCTCCTGTGGAAACCTGTTTATGTCTCACCTGTGCAGCCGGGAAGAAATGGTTAATGGAGTACGTCACACCATCATCAGTCATTCGACAATAACAAGTGCCCAACGCCACCAACTATGGTGCGTTGCCCTGTGCCCTGGGCACTTCGTTACCTCATTTAAGCCTCGCACAACCCCACAGGCAGGCATTACTGCGTCCATTCTGTGGACAGAGAGACGGGGGCTCAGGGGCCAGGCCGCGGCCCCACGCTAACACGTGGCAGGGGCAGGACTCTCGCTTCACAGTTATCTCAACAGAATCGCCTGACTTCGTTCAGTTTTTTGTTTTGTTTTTCTGAACCACATTCACACACCAATAATCATTCTATTCCTGCCTGAGATTGATAGTCAAATCTCAATCACTAAGGAAGGAAAAGCAAGTGTTTTCCCAGAAGAGGTCCTTATTAGTCATCCATAAACAGACCCGTTTTTAGCCAGGACAGGAGAAGCCCAATTACTTACAGGAGCAGAACAGTGCTCTGGTCTCAAACGTCTCCAACTTAGAGCTGCCTTGACACTCTGAGCCATGGGCAGTTGAGCCAGCAGAGAAGACCTTTCCAAATTATACCTTGAAATCAAAACCGCTTTTCTTTTCTCAAAATTACATTAAGATAAATAAGCACGCTTTGGACCGCTCCTGCAAAACCGATGGGCTTCTTTAGTCACTGAGAAATGTAACCAAGATGAGCACTAGCTCAGGTGCCAGGTCTTAAAAAGCAGGTGGTCTTGGCTCAGGCTAAAGAGGAGGAACTCATTAACCACTCGTTTCCACACAGCCCCAAGCTGGCTAACCTGAGCGTTTCTCTTCCTTATCAGCCAAGAACAAAATTCGCAGTGGCCCAGTTCTGTAAATGCCTTTCTACCTGCGATATTGGCTTAAATGGAAAAGTCACAAGAGAAAGCTCCTATTTTATAGGAGCAAGTCAGAAAATTGTTTCTAATGGCTCTGAAGGATGGAAGAGACACCAGAAATGTCTAGCACACTGAGCAATGCTTCTGGAATTTTCACGGGAAAGACACGAAACAAAGACCTGTGAAAGGTTTTCTAAAGAGTGGCAGACGTATTCATGATGCGCTCACGTAACTTCCCACTTCTGCTGCACAAACGAACGGCTCAGCTCACTCAGGCTCAAGCAAGGGTGGAGGGACACAGTAACACGTGGTTCGGAGATATTCACGCACCGTCCATGCCAACACGACAAGGTATGCGACGGTGCGTTCTAGTGCAAGCAGAATTTTAACTGGAGCCGGGAGGAGGAGACAAAATCAGAAACACCAACACTGCGAAGGTGCTCAGTGTCAACAAGGGTTCCACGCATGCAAAGGGACAGCAGAACCGCCACAGGCGCTCAGGGAAACTGGTCACAAACTCAGGTGATGTTTAAAATGTCGATGATTTTTCAATGGAAACAAACAGACAAACACACACAGGATTATGAAGTCACATGGCAGCCAGGCAATGCAGTAACACCCCCGAGGCGAGGTTTCCGTTGGAAGCAGTAAAACCATCCATATTTTCACACTGGGTCCAACTCTGTGCATTGGGGGAGTAACTGAAGGTTCAGAGGACCGTTTCTACCCGTGAATAACATTCAATTACCCTCCATGCTAATGAGTCATTTTGAGTTGTAGTTAGAGTTACAGATAGTAATTTTTTTTTTTTTGGTCCATTACTGCTGTGACACCCAGGTCTGTATTCACCAGATAAAAAAGTTGGAGCAACGTAACTAGTTTTCTTAACCTTTTTCCAAATACCTCCTTTTTTTCCTGGTTTACTTACCTGTATTTAGCTTGGCAAATAGAAAACGGGTCAAACTAGCAGTAAACACATTATAGAGCCAGGTGCGAACCAGGTCAGAACCTGCTATATCAAAAGCTGAGACTCACTGCATGACAGGTCACTTTAAAAGGTGTGTTACTATTATTAGTTGCAACAGTGCTTCTGTCCGGGTTTGCAGAATGCGTACCAGGTGACTACACATGCAGGAAAGAAGTAGTTATGGAAATGAAACACAAATAAAAAAGGCAAAATATTGCAAAAACAAATTATTTTATTAAGTGCAAAACAAGCCGTAGGCAATAAATATATTAGCTCTGGTACATGTCCAAAGACTGGGGCAACCATTCTCTCCAGAACATATTAAGGCAGTGAAATTATTCTGAACATACAGATTTAAAAAATAAAAAATAAATTAAAAAAGGAAACAACTATAACACGTCCCCTTTACACATGCTTGGAAACATTTGGGAGCTTTACATGAATTTCAGTTTGGGCTCAAAGAGAATGTCTGCTCCGTTTGAGAGTTTACAACAGATAGAGTCTCTTACTTCGAGTTCTAGCACTCTGAATTCTAACAGCTCATTCTGGTCCTTTGCGTCTTGCATTTCATTCTTTAGCTGGTTCTCTTCCATTTCCAGCCTGTAAATCTAGAGCAAAAACACCTGTGGTTTAACGGGAAGAGGAACTGCTGTCTCTCACCAGGGAGAGACATGCCCCCTGATAATGGGCCACCAGAGGAAACAGGGGGTCACCAGGGGCGGAAGGGAGGGCGCGGCAGACAGAGGCACACCTGGCTTGTCCCCGCAGCCCCGAGCCTGCCCCAGGGGAGGGCCTCCTCATGCATTTGCTGAATAAATAAACAATAGGGAAACTGAGGCACTGGGTGATTAATTCCCTTTCCTGAGGTCAACCTTTGGGAAGCAAGAGTGATCCCCAACCCTGTCTGAGCACCTTCTCACCCGAGCCCTCCTAGGGTGAACCCACCCAGACGGGTCCAGTAACCCCCAGCAGGAAGCCCACGCCCCTGGTCTTTCCCAGAGGGCTCGTGGAGAGGCTCAGGGATGGCAGCGCCCCTGGAAGCACAGTCGGTCTGGGAACGGGGGGCTGTCTGGGAGGCCCTGGTCAAGCTGTGTGACTGCTCTGCGCCTCAGTGTCTTCATACGAGTTGGAAAACAGCCACCTGCCCCTTGTCACCAGCCGCAGGAGGACTAACTGAGCTAATGCCCAGAAACGAGGGCCTCGTAAGTCATGGTCACACTGTTCCCTTCTCCCCGTCAGGAGGACCAGAGGTGGGTCCCCTGTTGGGGTGGAGGACATCGGGAAACAGTGTAAGAACTTTCCACGGCTCCCAGAACATAGTGAGCAGGACCACGGACAGGAAATGATTCCCAACACACAGGGCCACCTCACAGCGCGTGACCGGTCCTGTTCCAGTGCCCCCAATGCTGCGGACAACCAGGGCAGTGAACAGCCACGCGGCGGGTCAGTGTGGAGCTGGGACTGCACCAAGGCCCCTCCCCGGGGGCCGGGCCAGGCCCCTCCAGTCTGGCATCTGGGACACCTAAATGCAAGGCCTGACCCAGGTCTGACTCCTCTAGTAGGGAAAGTGCAGAAAAGGCAAATCTGTAGGGACAGAAATCAGGTGGCGGTCGCCAGGGGCTAGGGAGGTGGGAGACAGGGGTGACTGCAAATGGGCATGAGAAGTCTTTACAGGGGGCTAAAACGCCCTAAAACTGCACTATGATGATGGTTACACTCAGCAAATGTGCAGGACAAAAAAAATCACAGAATTGTAGACAAGAAAAAAATTAAGCTTGTCTTGTGCCAAAGCATGAGATCTATGCCCTAAGCCAACTCCTCAAGATAGTTCTGGAAAGTTCCATGACCAGAAAGTTCTGAGCAGAGCGGGAAGGCCAGGCTCAGCTCTGCCAGCACCACCGCCTCCAGGCCATGAACTGGACAATGACGGCCTGAGGGCTGTCTTAGGCACCTCCCCATGGGGGGAGCTCTGGAACCCCAAAGCAATGGCAGGGGAACCTCAAAGCCCCCTCAGGAGGAGGCGGCCCTGACCATGTCTACAGGTGCCCTTGGAGGGAAATCTAAATCAGCAATCCGAGCCCCTCCCCAGGGGACAGAACCAGCCAGGACCAGTGGCCGGGAGCCCCCAGGACTTGAGCTCTGATCCACATGAGGAAGACGTGTCTCCTCTAAGAGCCGGCCCCAGGGGTGCTGCCAGGACAGGCGCTAGGCGGGACTCAGGCAGTCAGAATGGGCCTCTGAGGTCCCCGCTGACCCCGGCTCTGTGCTTCCGGGGTCGGGGGCGGGGGGAGGGTCAGGGTGTCCACACCCACATACCTTTTCCAGCAGGTCTTGGTTGGTTCTGATGAGCAGCTGTTTCTCTTCAACCCACTTGGAATCCTAAGGAAAAGCACTAAATATGGTCTCTGGAGTAAACGAAGAGCACCTTCCCCTTGGCACCAAGGTCCCAGGGGCACCACCAGGGGGACAGCCACGCGAAGCAGCACAGAGCACACGCCCATCCCTGCTCACCTGTCCCTTCTCCACCAATAGCTTCTCCAAGTCTTCGATTTTGGCCTGACACCTCAGCAGGTCCGCTTGCAGCTGCTCCCGCGTCTGGAATGCAAACCACCAGAAAGTGAGCAGGTCACCTCACAATGGCTGACAGGCGCAGAAAGGATCATGCTGCAACCCAGACCTTAGAAACAGGAGCATTTTTTAGGAGCACGTGTTCAAACCTGGCCCACCTGGGTGCGTGCAGGTCCTACCACCCACAGGTGCAAAATGTGTAAGAACTGAAAGCCTTGAGAAGTTGTCAGTTCAAGCCCCCTCAATTGTATAGATAAGGTCACTGAAGCCAGGAGAAGAGGCCAGTTCCCTCAGGGGGTTGAGTGAGGCAGACACGGCAGGGCCTCAACCCCGACTTTCCGGCCAAGTTCAGCGGTTGCTCACGCGGCCGTCGCCAACAGTACCAAAAGCACCTTCACACTTGGTTGGCCTGTGTTGTGGGCCCTTCACCACCTAGGCAGGGGCTGAGGCTGAGTACGGGGTGATAGGGGACTGTGGGCAAGTGGGGCACAGGTCCCATCTCAGGGGCGAGTGCCACTCAGCTGCAGCCAGACGCCGCCATGTGGAGCAGGGAGCCTCGTGTCGCCAGGCGTTCTCAGCTTTCGAGAGAAGCCAGGAATCTGGAGATCTATGTGAACTCTCTTGACTTTTCAATGTTGGCAACTAGATGAAATTTTTAATAAAAACCACATGATTCAGCTCAAACCAAGCCCAGTCGTCTGCCTCCTCTGACCACAGATGACAGGCTGAACTCGGTCTTGTGGCAGAAGTGCCCCTCCCTGCCAGCCTCACTCAACACCTTCTACTGCAAGGGCTGTTGTGATGAAACGGGGGACCACTGGGGTGAGGCTGTGGCACCAACGGTGTGCTCTCAGGGAGCCCCCTCACTTTCAGAGGGAAGGGCAGGCAGCCCCTGGTCTACGTGACTCCCGAAGGTGGGGTAAGGGTCAGTATGTTGGAGGATACTGGAAGGCAGAGCTCAGCCCAGCACAAGGGCTGGCGTGGCGCAGACCTGGGTGGCCAGCAGGGACCAGAGTGCCTTGTGGGCTGCGAGCACCCTGACAGTCCCTCAAGGTTCCTCGGGGATGTCCTTGGGGGTTCTCAGCCCGGAGGGAGAGGAATGTAAAGTCGGCAAGGTCGCCGAGTCTGGGGTCACTGAAATTCTGAAGCTGTTCTTGCAAACGGACAGTGTGCATGACGTGCATTAGACAGTGGCGCCATTTCTCCTGGCAACTCCTGCTGTCACGCTGAGGATGGAAAGATAGCTCGTAGGGTTTGCCAAATGCTGGGGCATTTGTTGTGTCCCCATCGCCTGTCGGAGTCCCCTCCAAGTGTCAAGGCCGGGTGACATGACCAAGCCACACCGCTGGAAAGGGCATGCATGAGCGCCTCCTGCCCAGCCCCTGGCCGCCCCAAGGGCCGGCTGCACTTACCCGGGCCTCCCTCTCAGCGTCCAGCGTCCCCCCGACTTGCTCCTGAAGCAGGGCGTAGGCTCGCTGCAGGGCCTGGTACTCCCTGGTCAGCTGGCAGAACCTCAGGTCAGCCTCTTCTCTGGTGGTCGTCTTAACGTCAGGGAGAAGAAAAACATGGAGCACGTGACTGCACATGACTTCCGGTGCCAGGGCCACTTAGACAGAAGCAAACTTCTGCTAACAGTGACTTCACCAACCGGCCACTGCCGGGACGTAACTGGGACAGCAGAGTGAAGGGCTGCCGGGAGCAGGCGCCATCTCGGCCGTCGGGGCCCTTCCCAGCCACTCACGGCCGAGGTCATGAACCTGGATGTGCACAGACGGCCAGGATAGGGGGAGGGCGGGGGCCCAGCAGAGAGGGCTGCAGGCGGGTTTTACGCTCCTCCACACACTTCTCAGAACTGTTTGGGTTCTCTCCTACACGTGTCATCTTTATAATGAAAATTGCAACTACGCTGTTTCTACTCAGTGGGGGGGGGTGTGTAGGGGGACAAGGGACAGACCACCATGCAGGAATTTCAATTGCAAAGGTCAAGTCACACCAACGTGACGTCTGGTTTCCTCTGTGAAATCAGCTCTGGGTAAAGGAAAGGGACCCCTGTGTGGCCAGTGCCCCATCACCAGAGAGCCCGGGAAAGTGGGGACCACCTTCCCTTGACGCTATGGGCTGTGATAGCACAGGTCCTCCAGGGTTTAAATCTTTAAGGGGGGGGGGCGCCACGCTTGCTGCCATCAGAGGCCGGAAGTGCCAGGACGCGCGTCTGGGCTGAGGTTCGCTTACATCGTCCAGGTCTTCCTCCGGTGTGGCTGGGGCCCTGTCCGTCCGGTCTGTGTTGCAGGATGTTTCAGACAACGTTTCCGAGTCCACAGACTCCTCATCAAATCCAAAAAATGTCTCCACAACATGCTTCTGTGAAAGGCAACGTGCAGGACATCAGAAACGGACTCAGGAGTGCCGGGTCCCCCAGCCCTGTCATCCCAGGGCATCTGAGCCTCAAGGGCACCCCAAGAGGTGGTTGGTGGGTTTGTAATTGGCTGGGTAGGAGAGGAGGCGGCTGGAGGTGGGGGAAGGGTAGACTGCCAGGCGCGTGCCCAGTCCCAATCCTGGCGTCAGGCTCGGGAGCTAGTGACGTCATGCAAGTCACTTAGCCCCTCTGAGCACCAGCCGCCTTCTCCATCGAGGGGACACGGAACCCCCACACCATCTGTGAGCACAAGGCGCTGTCACACATGTGCTGTGCCCGGCTTGCTGACCCTCTATGAGAAGCACGTTTGTTGGACTAAGGAGGGGACAGTGGGGCCAGGACAGATGACTAGTTCTAGATGCCACACTGGGACAGGTGAAAGGGGCAGTGTCCAGAGATCGACCCCGGGAGCTCGGACTGGCTGTGCTGGCGTGCAGCCTAGGTTCCCACCAGACCTGCGCTAAGAGGCAATTTTTGTTTAACTTTTCATTATAGAAAAATTAAAACCTTCACAAAATTAGAAGGAATAGTGTAATGGGCCTTCAGGCACCCACCACGAAGTCCACAGTTTTAATCCTCTGTGTGTGTCTGTCTCCCAGTTACCCTCCCAGAATCTCCCACCCCAACCATCACAGTGTGGGGGGCTTCATTCATTCATGCATGGATTCATTCATTCAGGAAACAGCTGACTGAGCACCTTCTATGGGTCAGATGCTGGGTAGGACGTGGGGGACAACATGGTCAGAACCAGACATGGTCCCTGCCACAGGTAGCCGCAGTCCCCTGGGGGCTGCGGACATCCACTGACAACCACCACATCACCTTGTTTTAGGAACACTGGCTTTTTTTTTCCCCCCCAAAATAAATAGTCTCTCGGACGAATTTTTATACGCTTTCACAATCAACGAATGCTTCTCACGACCATGAAGCAGGAACTGTAACTAAATCCAGAGCCAAGCCCAGGCTCCCACCGGTCGGCCTGGAGCCTGGCTTCTCCCCAAGGTCCGTCCCCATTCCTCACCTGCAGGGGGTTCAGGGCCCAGCCCACACGCTGAGGACACCTCCCACTGGGCTTGATTAAGCCAATGCGTGTCTGCAATCTCATGGGCCCAAACCTAAGAAACATGGGCCCAAACCTAAGAAACACAACCCACAACGTGATTAGGGAGGCAGGGGCTTCCTGGTCACCTTGTCCCGTTAGTTTCTGAAGAGGCGCCCGACCACTGTACGCTGCCCACAGGTCCTTGCACTTGGCACCTGTGTTCCTGCTACTGTTTCCGCCTTGTGCCCTATGTTTGTGTTTTTAATACACATGGAGCAGTTACCACCTCCTGAATTCCTGACTCACATGTCAGCCATCTCTCCAATAGCTCCATGGGGGCCTGGTGGACAGCGATGTACCCCCAAAACCTGCCATGCCCACAACTAGCATGTGCTCGTCACTGCAGCGCCATCCTTCTAGTTGCTCACGCCAGAAACCTGGACGCCGCCTCCCCCACGCTCCTCACCCTCTCAGGCTGCTCTGGGAGAAATCCCGTTCGCTCCACCTTAGCCCAGAAGCCAACCCTCTCACCCCCTCTCCCCGCCGGCTCCTCCTCCTCAGCCCAAGCCACCATCCTCTCTCACTGAAATGATTAAAACCACCTCTTACTGGCCTCCCTGTCCTGCCTTTGCCCTCACCTAGTGGTCACGGTGACTATTTTGAAATGAAAGTCGCATCCTGTTGGTCCTTTGCTCAAAGCCCAGTGGCAATGGTACTCCATCATAGCTGAGTAAAAGCCGACATCCGTGCAGCCTACTGGCCTTGGTGACCTGCCTCCCAACCCGCTCTCACCTACCGCCACCCCTCAGTCCCCTCCAGCACTGCTCCAGCCCCACTGCCAAGTACGCGCCTGCGCCTCCCACAGGCCTGCCCCAGGGCCTTTGCACGGCCCAGATGCTCTTCCCCGGGACCCCCATGGCTCGCTCCCTTACTCCCCTCGAGTCTTTGCACAAATGCAACGTTATTAAAAAGGGCTTCCCTGACCACCATGTCCAAGTCCCTACCAACCCATCCCCACCACAGCCTGTCTAATCGCCCTCCTTTCTTTTTCTCCCTAGCACTCATCCCCACGTGACACAGATATATTTTGCATATGTGTTTATTACCTGTCTTCCCCCTCTGGGATATAAGCCCCATGGGCACAGGGATTTAGCTCCATGAGGGCAGGGTTAGGGCTCTTTTGTTCCCCATCGTGGCCCAGGGCCTGGCACACTCAAGAAACAGTAGTTGTTAAATGAGTATTTGCAAACATGTCTCTGTTAATGAACTCAAAGCCAAACTAACTTGTTTACCCACAAACAGTTTCAGGTTTGCACATCCCTTCCCTTCAGTTATGCAGCCAGCATCAGCTGGACAGCCACCTGGCTATGCGCCCCAGGTGAGTCTAACAGGTAGGAATGTGAGGACCTAATAGGCTCCATCCATTTCAGATGATTTCTTCTCTCCAAGTAGAGGCTGCAAACAAGCATATACTCAAATCCCCCCTGCAGATGAGAAACCCCACCTAGTTTAGGCACCAAAACCTCTCCAGATAATCTCTAAAGAGCAGTGGCCATGACATCCCAATAGGGACAATGGCACCTTCAGGAGTGACACGTCTGCAGCACTCAAAGCTCCTCTGCACATACGCAGTTCACCTCCCTGAGCTCAGGGCTCATTTTCCTGGGCAGCCACTCAGCCAACCTTATTTTTTGTAAATGCTGCTAACTACAAGGCCTCCGGGGACAGGTCTGTGTTTGCTGCTGTGACAACGGGCAGCGAGCGGTGATCCACGGAGGGCTCTGCCAGGCACAAGGATGGCGCCCAGGGAACCACCGAGCCACGCCCTCTCCGAATGATCAGGGCACGATGCAGAGCTGTGTTCGCCCGCTGTCAGCGCCCCGGACCGTTCTGGAGGCTGGTGACTCAGCGTGCCATCACATGGGAGGATCCGGGTCTGGGACCCTGCAGGACTCTTGGTGAGAAACTCAGTTACCGAGCATGGCTGCAGGGTGTTAACTGCAGACACTGTGGACCTCCACGTAAAGCAGAACCGCTTTGTCAACAGCCTGTCCCAGACCCAAGCGGGGCCCCCTGAAGTATAACATGGTCCCAGACCAAGACCCCAAGGCAGCACGCTGCAGTGAGCAAATGAGGAGGCAGCTGTCAGGGTGGAGACCAATCACAAAAGGGCCTCCAGATTACCATCCTACAGCAAAGGCCACGGATCCACAAACACACAGCACATGAATTTCCTTAGCCCAGTGAGCTGACCGGGAATCTTCTACCTTGTATAACGTGTGGGCTGAGTCAGCTTGTTTCCTCTAAGGGCTAGCTTTTCTCAGCGGTTGCATTATATGGGAAGTCAAAATGCACTACATAAATTTCTGCCTTTATGAATAAAAAAACAAGCTAGAGAAGGGCATTGTTAACGCTTCAAGTGAAGATCAGGTGGCTGCCTTCTTTGAAGACAATGCAACCACTGCATGTTCAAAATCTCCATAAAGTAACACCTAGAAACCATCGCTCCCTCTGAGGGTTGGCTCATAATGGGCTTTAGAGGTGAGTTAAGCATGAAAGAAACGAGTTTTTCAGTCTCCATCCTTCTCAAATTCCCTGGGCGTTTCCTACGGAAAGATCCTTTAAGGGCATGAATTCCCATCTTTGCTCATTCTAAGTGCATCTTCTACCTAAGGGGCTCACTTCTCCACGCTCCCGGTTTCTTTACCACCAAAGTCTTGACTTGCTAACTCCTTTTTACAAACTGATCCAAATTTTCAAAATGCAGTTTGGGCAAAAATGACTGAAAGATAAACGTGTCGTCTCCATTTACACTTTGAATATACAGAGGTGCTCATTCTTAGCAGATTAAATGGGACTGAGAGGAAAAGAGGGGCCCCCCAAAATTCGCCCTCACCCAACTCTAGCCTCCCTCAGCCTCCTCTCGCCTCGCCTCCATGTCATCTCCAACAGGCGCTGTCACAGGAAGGGGCTTCCAGCCATAGAGAGCGACTCCCACAGAACCGCAAAGCCAGCTGCTTACCTTCATGCCTGTAGGTCATCTCCTGGCAGCCCGAAAAGTACAGACACACCAGGGCACAGAGACAGAGGAAGAAGGAGAAATACAGCACGAAGAGGACATACTCCATGGTCGTGAGGGCTCCCAGAGCCCGCCAGCCCAGCTGTGTGTGTCGGGTGACCCAAAAGCCGCGTCACTGCCACCAACCTCCAGGCCTCTTGGAGTCCTAGGAGAAAGCGCCAACCCTCTCCCAAAGCATTCTCTCCTCTGCCACACTCGGCTTCCTGCGGACGGTCTGCTGTGGGGTCCGGAGGACGGGGCACTCGGGAGGCGCACCTTTATTAAGTAAGGATGTCAGCTCCTGGGCAGATGGGGGCTGAGAGGAGCGGGTTTCCAGGGGCCGGGCTGCACGAGTCACACAGGATGGCTTCTGTGCTCGTTTATTCTCTGAGGGCTTTCCTCCCAGGCCCCAGGCTCCCTGAGCTGCCTAGTTGCCAATGCCATTCCACAGGTCCCTGGGTGACTGCAAGGGCCCCTGGGGACAGCGCTAGCAACGGTGCCGCGCTGAGAGCCTTCCCAGAACCAGGCCAAGACAAGGAGGTGCCTCCCGCCTTGCATGATCGGGCCACTGCTGTCACTCCCTGGCCAACCCATGCACCCTGGACAGCAGGCTTGGTTTCTCAGTGACCCTTCCCGCAGCATTTGTTTTGCCGCTTATCCAGCAGACCATTATCCACAGAAAAGCTGTAACTAGAGCAGACTATAGTCCCCCCACCCCACCCCTGCGTGGGCACTTGTGAGAGTCCTGCATTTCCTGGAGAACCTTCTCTAGGCATAGCATCAAAAGTAAACACCCTCACGGTGGAAAAAAATGGACAGATTTTACCATAAAAAAGTAAAACTGTACTTTGAAACATAGTAAAGCAACATTAAAAGGCAAAAGACAACCCACAAAAGGGAAAGTATAGACAGCCAAGTTCACGTATACGTGTCAACTTCAACAGCGCTTGATACTCTCTTCCTTTTAAAGTGCCCATGATATGAGCTGTGTAGCCATGTCACGCTATGCAGTCTTTAAGTCATGCTTCCAAATGAGGTGCCACCCAGATTGGTTCAGGGACGGGCCTGTGACCAAAGCGAGACAAGGAGCACCAGCCCTGGGACTTTGCCGCAGCCGCTGAGGAGACGTGCCGTCCCACCACTGAGGCTGCTGGGCAGGCGTGCCAGCTGCTAAAACCGTTCGGGCCACCACTTGGGGAGAGCCTTCTTGAGAGAGAGGCCAGCCCAGAGGACAGCAGGGTTGAACGATGGAAAAAAGCAGGCTCCTGGCCAGATCCTGTGAGCAGCTGGACCCAGCTGTGCCTGAAGCCAGCGACCTCCAGGCTCCTCAGTTACATAAATCCATTTCTTTGTTTAAGCGGCTGCGTTTTTGCCACGAGCAATACAAAGGTGCTTGGCTAAAAGGGGAGGAGGTGATAATCCTGGAAATCAAGCCACTGGCAAACTGTTAAGCTCCGGGGCAAGTCAGAGGGCTGATTTCTCCCTGAGCTTCTCTGCACCTGGACCCTCAAGAAAAACTAAGGACAGCCTCTGCCTGGCAAGTGCCACCAGCTGCCACCAGCTGCAACCGCTGCCTGAGCTACTTAGACCCTCCCCACCCCCAGAAGCTTCGCAAGGGTGGAGACACCATTCTGTGCCCTGTCACCTGACATTCTGCCATGCCCGAGGCAGACGCTACACAGATGATGGCTAGAGGGGTGGGGGATGGGTGGGGCTGACAGTCACACTGCCTTAGACTTCACAGCACGAGTGGCTACAGGCCCTGGGCTAGTTCAGACAGGACATGACGCCTGATGACAATGACCTGGCACTTTTTGCCAGCACCTGACCTAGGGAGCCCAACTGGAGACCTCAGGCACAAGCCACAAGTGCAGGGTTCCAACCCCGCTGCCTGGGCTGCCGGGCAGATCACATGGCCCCCAGTCGCAGCCTCCCATGGCCCCCACCACCCCTCGTTCGACCACCAGCATCCTCCGAGTTCTTCCCCACATGAAGCCCCAGAGGGAGCCGACATGGAGACTGACAGTAAGGTGGTGCCACCCGTGCCAGGGGCCCGGGGGCCGAGGAAGCCCAGAGAAAGGGTGTCTAACCCCGTGGGAGGGGCGGAGGCTTGCAGGCGACGGGGACAGCTAAGCCCACTCTCGGAGGCGGCGGCGAGCAGGAGAGGGGAGACGAGGCAGCAGGGCAAGCCCGGCGGCCAGAGCGGGATGTGCTGAGGGGAAGCGAAGCGGCGGGCGCGTGGCCAGTTCCCGGAAGTTCCTGGGGGCCTAGTCAAGGTGCCCCAACTTCATCCCCGGGGAGGGGAGAAAGTGTGCGGCTTTCGGGAAGAAGGTGGCAGTGTCATGCTTGTGCCTCAAGATTATCGTGGCGGCTCTGGAGGAGAGGGGAGATGCTGGGAGCGGGGGAGCTGCTGCGATGGTGGGACGAGGGCCTGAAGGGAGACGTGAAGACACGAGAGAGCAGAGGCCTGGAGGGTGGGGGCTGGAATCAGGGAGCCTGTGCCCCATCCCTCCGCACGGGGTCTGGGGTCCCTCCCAGCACCAGGCAGGAGGCCCAGGGGCCTGCACACCAGCATCCCAGCCGGCTCCTCTCCCGAGGCTGTGGCTCCCTGCCCCCACCCCCGGCTCATTCCTGGCGCTGCATGTTCCTGCCCCACTTGACTGCATTGTCTAGAAGCACCAGAACTTTCTGTCGTTCCGAAGTCTTCAGGCATGGCCTGGATGTCCCCATGGTCATTGCTACACCCGAAGAGGTGCCCTGGGCAGGCTCTGTGGCCCCAGCAAAAGGTCCTTAGTCTAGCCGTTGTTCATATGCCCAGTCTCCACTGAGATACCGCTCCGTGCTGCTAGAGAGCAAGTTTCAGTGGCTGCAACACGACCTACCACGTGCCCCTCCTTGGGGCTCTGTTTAGAGTCAGGCCCTGGTGCCAGGCCTTCTGTAGGACCAGCCGCCCGCCCCTGCTCAGGGTCCTTCTCCTACAGCCCTCAGTGGGGGCTGAACTAGCCGTTTCCCTTGGCAGAGACAGCCAACACCAGTCTTGTCCCCAGAGGCCCAGTGAGGCAGGGTCAGCAGCNAAAAAGAAAAAAAATCAGACTTCTCAGGGCCAGGTCACGCCCACCCTGTAAAGGCCAGAAGACTTTCTTAACACGGGTGCTGCTTCTTACGACAGCAAACCAGGGAGATGATGTGAGAAAAGAGTAGCCATGGAAACCGCTGCCAGGCACCAGTGAAGGCGAGGCTGCTTTCTGGCAGAATAAAACAGGAAGGCGCAGTCACCAAGATGAGCTGGTGCGACCCCGCCCCCGCCCCCGCCCCCACAGCATGGTCCTGAAGCCGGTAAGCCACACCTGATACCCTGTCACTTGGCGTCACATCGAGGCCTGTGGCTGAGCATAGATGTACATACCAGTGAGAGATCGTCGATGACGTGCTGCTGCTCCAGCACTTGGAGCCTCAGGAACTCGATTTCCTGCTCGTCCCTTGTCAGGCTGAGGTCGTTCAAGGACGTGTGTCGCTTCAGAGATGTCTGTGCAGACAGCTTTTCTTTCTGCAGCCAGAGGGAGAGCGCTCATCCAACTACATTTGTTAAGGACCCACTGTGTGCATCAGGGCATGGAGTGTGGGCTTGGGGGGTACAGGACTGAAGGATGATGGCCACCTAGGCCCCAAGCTGGACGGGGGCACAGCTGCACCAGAACCCAGCCCGAGGCACGGCTGCTGGTGCTCGCTGCTGGGGGAAGGGCTGGACAGGCCTGGGGGTGGGAGGTGGACGTCCGAGCCCACCCTTGAAAGCTGGACAAGGAAGCTGGCAGAGGAAAGCACAGGCCTGTAGGCCACAGGGAGAAGGGTGCTCATCTCTGAGCCTCAGTATTCTCAGCTGTGACATGGGGGTGACTGACACGACTTCTATAAACCTTCAACGCCAAGACCCCACCCTGACCACAAAGACCAGTCATTCTTGTTGGAACATGTGAACATCCCTTATGTGAAATACTTGGAGCAAAAACCCTCCCTTTCACACACAGCTTCCGCGATGAGCCGACTGTCTGTGAGGCCTGTCTATGCGATCATTCCATCCTCTCAATAACCCTGCACGCTGATACTTTCTGTCCCATTTCATGGGTGAAGAAACTGAGGCGCAGAGACAAGGAGAGATGAGTCTCAGGACACAGGGGCAGCAGATTGCAGGGCTGAGGCGTGGACCCTGCTGCCTGACTCCCTGGCGCTCTCCCTCCGGGCACAGACACCCAAGCACCCTACCTTCTAGAAAAGTGACGGCGGCAGGGACGGGTGTGGGCTGAGACGGCTCCTGGGGCTTCCTGTGGAGGCGCGGGGAGGCGGGCCCCGGAGAACGTGCACTGCACTGAGAGGCCCGGGGGCTGCAGGAGCCCCGACGGACCAGGTTCCCGGGCTGGTCCCAGGCGGCCGACGACTTACCATCTCCACGTTCTCCCTCGTGAGGTTCTTGATTTTCTCCTCCATCCTCTGGATGCTCTGCAGCAAATCCTCATTCTTCTTGTTCATTCGCTTGTTCTTCTCCACCAGGGGCTTCAGCTGGACCTCAGTCTCACGGGAGCGTTTCAGCTACGGTTTGAGAGAGACAGAAGGCCAGGCGGCTTTAAGACCCAATGAATGGCTGACGTCACACCACGGAGGCCAGCGGAGAGCCAGCCTGCNACACACCCAGTTAATGGGACAAACTGAATACCTTTAAGAGTGTTGGTCTTTAATCACATGTCCCATGGTGACAATCACATTCACAGACACTACTGGTAGCTGTGCAAAATGACACAACTCTTCCATGGGGCAGAGGGGGGCGTACGTTCTAGATCAAAGCCTTCACATCCAGCTGTGGGAACAATCCAGACAACGGACACGGCTTTCTGGACACAAGTAGGTCACTGTGGTGACATTTACGGAAGCAGAAAGTCCAACGAGAGGGAAGGGTAGTCACGTAATGAAATGTCCATCACTCAGGGCACGAAACAGAACCGGCCCAGAAAGAGCCGTCCAGGCAAATAAAACACGTTCACTGCCTCATCATTCATACCCGGGAGTCGCTGAAGGCAGATATCCCGGCTGACCGGTCGGAAAATTCATGGCCCATCTACTCAATGGATTATGTAGCCATAAAATGTATGTTTATGGCGAGAGCGCCTTAACAGGGATACATGCGTTATGGTATAATGTTAAGCAAGAACACAGGGTGCAAAAGTACATTCTATAGTTATACTCAACGTTATTTATAAAAAGATGGAGCAGAAGGACTGCAGGGGGAGGGGACGCATTAAAACGTCAACACCGGTCACGTTGCAGGTGACGAATCACCTTTTATTCCCCAGGTAGTCTACGAGCAGTACAGGTATACCACTTCACTTCCATTGAAAATATGTGTTTAAAAATGCACAAGCTCTGCTGAACCACTTCGCATTTCTGAGTTTCTACCGTCAGTGCTTAGAGACCCACACCACCTTGAACTTGACTTGGTCCAAGCTTGGGCTTGGAGCCCCAGACTTGAGTCTGAATCTCGGCCTTGTCAATCGACTTTATCTCTGAGTTATTGCTATATTTTAGATCCATACTCTTCCTGTAACTGTCAAATGGGGGGGGGGATCACACCACCCTCCCATGGTTGCTGTGAGGATTAAATGAGATGGTGTCAATGACCACGTATCTGAGTGTCCGGGATGCAGCAAATGACCGACGAGCACAGAACGAGTGACGTGAACCTGGCTGCTGCACCAGGCTGTCTTTGGCCACAGAGTGGATTAGAAACATTTTCACCAACAGTTAAAATGCTTAGATTTTAGATAACGTATGGTGTTGTGGGTTGAATTGGGTCCCTCCCAAAAAAAAGCTACATTGAAGTCTTAACCCCCCCGTACCTGAGAACGGGACCTTATTTGGAAACCCGGTTATGCCAGAAGGAATTAGTTACTATGCGGTCATACTGGAGGAGGGTGGACCCCTGATCCAATATGGCTGCTGTCCTTATAAGAAGACAGCCATGTGAAGACACAGACACAGGGAGAACGGCATTTGATGACGACAGCTGAGGTTGCAGTTACGCAGCTGCAAGACCAGGGAGGTCACAGATTGCTGGCAAATCACCAAGAGCTGGAAGAGGGAAGGAAGGATCCCGTACAGGTTTTGGGGGGAGCGTGGCCTGCCAACCCCTCGAGTTTAGACTTCTAGCCCCCAGGACTGCGACAATACGTTTCTGTTGTTCTATGCCGCCCCGTTGGTGGCACTTGGTTCCAGCTGCCCTAGGAAGCTTGAGGATTCCCACTTCCCCTGAGAGACCGGAACATCTGACACCACCTGGCTCAGCTCCTTACAGCGACTGGTATTTGGGGCCTGGCTCGCCACAGTCCTCACCGCTCCCTGCAGTCACCCTGACACTGAGGCCACCTATCTGTAGCCATTCAGTGTCACATCTGCACAGTTGCCTTCTTTAGAGAAGAGAAGTGTTTCTCTTTAACCGTACCTCTAGATAAACCAGGAGGGACGTCTGGTTCAGTACCAAGCAGAGCGGCCGTCTTTGGGGAGGTGAAAAGTATGTCTACAGGGTTAAACGCAAACCAAGCCTTTCTTTTACACCTGCCTTTTACAGCTTGCTCTTTCACATTCCAGCTCGGCCCTGGTGGGCATCTGCGTTTTCCAAGCGCAGCTTACTCTCTCTGCCAGGACACTCGGCACTATCTCCGTAAATCCACATTTTCCAAAAAGAACATTATTCCAGGAAAGCCCAAACCTCCTGCTTTTTCAGACCAGGATCTAAAACGTTATGAGCCAAGCCTGACTGTCCTTTAAATCCTTCAAAAGGCCTAAGTATTTATGTTTTTAATTTTGGGTGAGCAGCGCCTGAGGCCTAAATACAGAATGGTTTCCACGAGTAAGTTACAACAACCAGGCCCACGCCATCAGTTACACAGCTTTGAGAGACGGCAAGAACAGGTTTTCCACCATCGAATATGCAGAGATGTGAGTGTGTCTGCCTATAGGGCCGCCCTGAAGATGGCTCACCGCCCCCCCCCCAACCTCCCCGCGGATGCTGGCACGGCTCCAAGGCAGGCCAGCAGAGCCATCGCAGGCTCACCTTGGGCAGCTTCAGGCCTTTCCCGCGATGTCTTTTGTAGCGCAAGAGCCGTTCTCTCTCCTGGAAGGAAACACAACTGTTGGCATTTTCAGCCAG